TTATTTCCAAGTATTCATTGTGTTGATCTACCATATTTATTCATTTATCATATTATTCAAACAATCAGATATCTGGATTGTTTCTACTTTTGCCTGTTACAGATAATGCTGCTATGAACATTTGTGTGGACATGTTTGTATTCCTGTAGGAGTGGAATTACTGGGCCAAAGGGTCACTTTGTGTTTAATCTTTCGAGGAATTGCCAGACTGTTTTAAAATCACCTGACACCATTTTACATTCCTACCAGGAATGTACAGTATGAGGGTTCCAATTTTTCTATATCTTTCCCAAGACTTGTTATTATTTTTCCCATTTATTAATAGCTATCCTAGTGGATGTAAAGTTAGTACCTCGTTGTGGTTTTCATTTACATTTCACTGATAGCTAATGATATGGAGCATCTTTTTATGTGTGAATATTTTTTTAACCTTCTGTATATAACATGATGATGTCTCAGAGGAAGTGGTGCCAACAAAAACAAAGATATTTCACAATGAAGGTAGTGCAAAGGATAAAATATTGGAAGCTGATCATACTTAGGAGTATGACAGTTTGCCAAAACATAGAAAATATGCTCACTCTGTATCATAGGTTATGTGATCAGAAGGCAGCACTGTTCAAACTACTCTTGGTAAGTTTTACAAAGAAATGAAACACTTTAAATCTCAATGTTTCTAATATTTTAAAGTACAAATAAGTACTAAATAAGTAGTTTGCTAATTTTTATTCATTTCCTTGCACACTGTCAGTAGTAGAGTGTTCAAAGTTTTGACAATATTTATAGGTTATGGAACAACCATAATTTTTTCCGTTGTTAAGATTGCCTTGCACATTTTTATGGTCTCATACTGTCATGAGAAGTAAGGAGTGCCTATTTTGAGAAAAGAAAAATCCATGTAAATTTAACTTGTCAAGCCTATAAACACTAAATAGCCTTGTGGTAGAATTAGTCTTCTCTTTAAATAGCTTTTAGGATTAGAATCATAGCTAAAAATATTCCATGCATGAAGATTTAAAACATTTTTCTGTTATTTTATTAAGTATTTAAGATACCTTCCACTTCTTGAATTTCCTGATGCCGCCAATTTTGAGCCCTTTGGAAATTTTGCACTATAAATGAGGGTACTACTGTCTGACTTTCTGCACTGCTGCTTGGTATCCAACTTTTCAGTCTTCTTTCCAGCTTCCAACGTAGTTATATTTGTCTCTTGTCATTTTTGGCCTTATGAGTTGCTTTTGTAGGGTTTTAAGAGAGATTTTGTGTTGACTTGCTTTTTTCTAAATGAAAATATTTTTTATTTTTTTATGTTTCTATTGATTTTAAGGGAGAGGGGGAGATAGAGATAGAAATCTACCATTGATAAGAGAGAAACACCCATCAGCTGCCTCCTGCATGACCCCTTCTGGGGATCGAGCCCACAACCTAGGCATGTGCCCTGACCTGGAATCAACCAGCAGCCTCTTGGAGCATGGGTTGATATTCAACCACTGAGCCACACTGGCTGGGCTATTTTATTTTATTTTTTAATGTTTCTTTATTGATTTCAGATTGGGGAAGGGAGAGGGAGAACGATAGAAACATTGATGATGAGGGAAACATCAATTGGCTGTCTCCTGCATGCCCCCTCACTAGGAATCGAACCAGAGATCTCCTGGGGCATAGGTTGATGCTCAACATTGGCAGGGCTGGGCTATTTTATTTATTTATTTTTTTAAAATATGTTTCTATTGAATTTTTTGAGAGAGAGAGAAACATAGATTAGCTGCCTCCTGCATGCCCCCACCCACCAGGGATCCAGCACATAACCTGGGCATGTGCCCTGCCCAGGAATCAAACTGGGTCTCAGTCCATGGGACGACGCTCAATTCACTGAGCCACACTGGCCAGCAAGGGCTATTTTATTTTTGATATAGGTTTAACTCAAGTAGTTTACTTGGAATTTGAAGCTGATTATGTAGAAAGAATTGTTTTACTGTTTTAACTAAATGTATTAATTTTTCTAGTTTGAGACTATGGATAGGAATGAATGAATGCCTATTAAAAATCTGAATTTCTGGATCAAATGAGATGATGATTTAAGTGTGCCTTAATTGATGTGCAGTTAAAATACATGGATACATTGAATATTCCTCAATTATAGAATTTAAGTAATCTGACTTTTAAATGCAGTGATTATATTGAAATAGAGCTCTAAGTCTCTTTAATTGAAATTTTTATCTTAAAATTTTAAAAAATATTCTAACTGAAATGTTAACTATCATCATTAGATCCCCAATTTTTTAGAATATATATGTATTTTAAATTTTTTTAGAGAGAGAGGAATGGAGAAGGAAAGAGAGAAACATGCATTGGCTGCCTCCTGCACGCCCCCTACTGGGGATTGAGCCCCAAACCTGGGCGTGTGTCCTGACCGGGAATAGAACCAGCTGTCTCTTTGTGCAGTGGGCCAGTGCTCAATCCACTGAGCCACACTGGCAAGGCCAATTTTTTTTTTTAATCCTCATCCAAGGATATGCTTATTGATTTTAGAGAGAGGGGAAGGGGTGGAGAGAGAGAATGAGGTCGATGTGAGAGAGAAACATCAGTTGGTTGCCTCCTGTGTGTGCCCCAATAGGGGCTCAAACCTGTAACCTAGACAGCCTAGACATATGCCCTGACCAGAATTTGAAACCACAACCTTTTGGTGTATGGGACGACATTCCTACTAACTGAGCCACCCAGCCAGGGTAGGTTCCCAGTTCTTAAAGAATTTTAACAGATAAGGAATTTGTGATATATATCTAGTTAATAATTAATAATCTTAAATTTTAGCACATTTTCAAAGAAATGAGTGGTCATTTAGTTTTCCTTTTGCTTTGGAGAATACATGTATAACAACCATCATAGCAAAAAACTCATACATACTGTGTGCATCTACCTTGATAGAATTGACAAGACTTCTACAGAACTGACTGACGTATGGAGATATAAGGGGTAAATGCATCTGTACATGTATACACACAAAAACAATCTCTTTGTTGGTGGATACCATATTTGTTTTTTTAAATTATTTTTATTTGTTTTTGTTACAGATGTTTCTCCTTTTCCCCCCATTGACACCCTCCTCCTGAACCCCCCCGCCCCTTCCCCAGCTTTGTTGTCTATGTCCATTGGTTATGCATACATGCATATAAGTTCTGTCGTTTATCTCTTCTCCCCCAGTACCCCTTCTTCTAGAGTTTTTCAGTCTACCCTACCTCTATATCTGTGGGTCAATTTTGTTCATCAGTTTGTTTAGTTATATTCCACAAATAAGTGAGATCATGTGGTATTTGTCTTTCTCTGCTTGGCTTGTTTCACTTAGCATAATACTTTTCATTTTCAGGTCCCTCCATGTCATCTCAAAGGATAAGAGATCTTTCTTTCTTATAGCTGTATAGTACTCCATTGTGTATATGTACCACAGCTTTTTTATCCATTCGTCTACTGATGGACATTTGGGCTGTTTCCAGATCTTAGCTATTGTAAATAGTGCTGCTAACAACATAGGGGTACATATATTCTTTCTGATAGGTGTTTCGGATTCAATATTTGTGAATTCACTTGCTCACTAAAATTTATTTGTAATTCCAAATCAATACCTGTGGTGCCTTTGTGGTCATGTTGGTGTGCAAAATGGCAAAAAATATGAGTAATGAGTAATTTGATGTACATATTCCTAGCTGAGGCTAAACAAGGCATTGCTGTTGCCTTTTTAAGCTCTTATACTGTAAACAAGTGCCCTTCTTGCAGTCTTATGTAGTGCCATGGCTTTTGCGTATTTTTTTCTCTTTTTATTGATTTTTAGAGGGAGGAAGGGAGAGAGAGAAATGTTGATGAGTGAGAACATCAGTGGCTGCCTCCTACATGCCCCCTACTGGGGATCAGGATCACAACCTGGGCATGTGCCCTGACCAGGAATCTAACCAGTGACCTCTTGGTGCATGGGTCAGTGCTTAACCACTGAACCACACCTAACTGACGCTTTTGCATATTTGTGTTGTTTGTTGGTCATTTTGCTGTTTATAATGTCCCCCAAATGTAGTGCTGAAGTGTTGTTTAGTGTTCATAAGTGCAAGAAAGTTGTGCTGTGTCTTATGGAGAAAGTGTTATAATCTCTTGGCTGATAGTTCAGTGTTAATTACTTTCCAATATTTATTAAATAAGTTGTCTTTAAATAGAAACACATAAAACTATGTATTTTGATTTGTTGAAAAAAAATGTGACCAGAGTCTCTCAGGAACCTTCCTTGTATTTTTTCTGGAGTAGTAGTGCAGTATTTACTAATTCAGTATTTGCAATGTCTTTACAGGACAGAGTTACCACAAATACCAGTATTGACTGTTGTGTGTTTGTGTATGAATGAACCACTTAGAACATCCGATTACCTTATTGAAAAAGTAAAATTTCTAACAATTTTGTTATAAAAATGTACTTGTATAAATATAAAACAAATATATATAGCAATATACTTTATTAACTTTTATGAGTTGTGTAATATACCAAATTACTTTGAAATAAACTTTTATTTGAAGTGCATTTAAATGTATTAATGCAGCCATGTCAGTTTTCATTTTATGTTGTACAATATATAACAGAATTTGCCATTTTAACAGTTTTTAAGCGTCCTGGTCGGTACCCTTAAGTATGTTCTTATTGTTAGGCAACCTGCTTGTTTTTTTATTTTTATTTTTTAATTTATTTTTTTCTTCTCCATTTGTCTGCCATCTTCCACCTCTAGTTTCCTCCCCCAAACTTCCTTGTTTTTTTAAATAGGATTGTGGTTGTAGGAGCTTGTGACTGAATTTTATCAAAGCAATCAGAATTAAGTATACTTATTTGTGTGCACCCCTTTATTTAAGATTTTTAATGCATTTTAGATTAAGAATTTTGATAATTGCATCATATGGTAGTGCTGTTTATTAACTTGTATCTTGATACTGCTTTGCACTCACATTTTTCCTCCTCTCCTTTTTTAGTGCTTTTTTAGGCCCAAAGGATATATTTCCTTATTCAGAAAATAAGGAAAAGTATGGAAAACCAAATAAACGAAAAGGCTTTAATGAAGGTTTATGGGAGATAGATAACAATCCGAAAGTGAAATTTTCAAGTCAACAGGTGCGTCATATTACATGATATTTAGTTTAGTATTATGTGTCCACTCTTGGAGAATAATCACTATTCTGGCTGTAGGAAAAGAAAATATTAATTTAAGAACCATGTCAGTTTCAGATGGTTATTTGTGATGTTGAATATTGACCTTTCATATGTAGATGAACTGATGAAATTATTACCTGCATGGTTAAATAGATCTCAGAAAACTTGGATGTATTGTTGTTAATTCCATCTGATTGAGAGTTTATTTACTATATCATTGAATTTAAAGCCATATGTACTGTTCTTTCAAATTTAGGTTTATAATTTGAAAGGCGTGTTTTCTTATTCATTATAATTTCTTTATTCATAACATTGTATTAGAATATGGTCATCAGATGAATTAAATTAAATATGGGACAAAAGTACTTATAGCACTGTGCAAATTATACTTAAATGTTTTTGGTGTTTAGAAGATTAGCCTTAAACCTCCTTTTTATTCTTTTTCATGTGACCAGAATTTTTGTTCATTTATATTAGACTTGAGGTAGTAAACACTAGGAAGAGTATGAGTAACCTAAAGAAGGAGATAGCAACAAACTAGAAAATTTGCAACTTTCTACTTTTAAATCTCTCTATATTTTTTGGTTCCTTGCATGTGCCATACTTTTTCTTTACTTTGAAAACTTTTCAGGTGCTATTATATCTGGAACATTTAACCCTTTCACTGATGCTCAAGGGCTCCATTAGATAATCCTAAGTGCCTTCATTACCATCCAAAATTTATTTGTTAAAAATTCGCAATACCATATCATAATTGCTCCTGTATTTTATTGCCATAGACTATTAACTCCATGAACAAAGAAGTTGTATGTCCATTGTTGTATGTTGTGGGCAGAGTAGGTATTCATTAAATATTTGTTGCATGAATGTCTCAAGAATAAATGAGTGGTTTCCCATCATCATTGCTTTGACTGTAAAGTGAGTCCAAAGAGGTTGATAGTTTTCTAAAACTAACATTTTTAAAATTTTTAAATCCTCACCTGAGGATATTTTTCCACTTACTTTCAGACAGAGTGGGAGGAGGCAGGGAGGGAGGGAAGGGAAGAGAGAGAGAAAGAAAGAAAGAAAGAAACATTGATGTGAGAGAGACACATTGACCAGGGCTGGTGACCGAACCAAAACCGAGGCACATGCCCTTTACCAGAATTGAACCCAAGACTCTTCGTTCGGAGGGCCAACACTGTACCCACTGAGCCAAACCGGCCAGGGTGTAAAACTAACATTTTATAACTTAACTTGAATCACGTGTCCTATGACTTACCTTGAAGGTCTTTTTCATCCAGATTGCCCAGCGTGGTCACCCTATCCTCTGTTCCTATCTACCTACTTAGTCTTCAGATAGTTTTCACCATATATACTTGGAATTTCCCTTTTAACAAGAAATTACTGGTTGATTGTATGTACGAAACCCAATGATTTTCTGTCTTTAACAAAAGTATGAATGATTGTGCTGTTGTGATGTATTCTTTGTTCCTGACCCAAATACACCCCCAGTGGCACATTCCTAGAGTTTGGGGAAAGCAGTGATGCCCAAGCTTAAATTTATAATTTATCATAATTTATAAATATTTGTATAGTGCTTTAAGTAATTTGGGGGCATTTTTACATTTTTGGTTACAACTTTGTAATTTGTGGTTTATCAGCATTGTCTTTTCTTACAAAAGAGGAAATAGTTTACAGCTTAAAAGACTTGACAAAGGGAACAGAGCTAGAAAGGGGCACAGTTTGGATTATAATGCTATTTTGTAAATCTGTGCTTACCCTCATCTCCCAGTGTGCACTATATTGCCTCTGTTATTCATGTTTTTTGTTAGTATTAATGAAAGTCTAGGCCACTAGATCACCTTCTTAAGTATCTATCACTGGAGTCTTTTGATTTTTTTTTTTTTGCAATTTAATGATGATTATTGAACTCAAACTCAGTACTATTAAATCAGAATCACTTAAGTTTGGGTCTTGGAATCTGCATTTTAAATAAACTAAGTTTGAGTTATAGATCAAAGTCTTTATTTTTTAAATCTTTTTTTTTTCTTTATTGATTTGAGAGAGAGGAAGGGAGGGGGAGAAAGAGCACATCGATTGGCTGCCTCCTGTATGGCCCCCACTGGGGATTTGGCCCACAACATGGGCATGTGCCCTGATCGGGAATCAAACCGGTGACCTCTTGGTGCACGGGTTGATGCTCAACCCCTGAGCCATACCAGCCAGGCCAAAGTCTTTCAGTGAAGCTAGGCTGTATGTCTTAGAGTACATAGTTAAGCTTCTCTCTCCAGAATGTTTCAATAATTTAATACAGTGGAGGTCTGTGCTATTCTAAATCAACTTACATTGTTTGTTGGTTAGAATATTAGAATTGTATTCTTCGTGATTGTACTTTCATTTTGGCCTCACTGTTTTATCATCTGCACTTGTATACATTCAGTTGCAGGTATATAATATGTTATAGGACTTTTCTAAAGAAAACAACATTTAAAAATATTTTTAAAATATGTATATATTGACCTGTGGAACATAAATTTAGAGTACTTTTCTAACTTTCTTACAAACAGGCTTTTCATTTTTCTTCGGTAAAAAAATTTAAAGTTGGTAAATATCTTAGTTTGTGAAATTAATACATTCCATTGTTCTTAGGCATCAGCTAAACAATCAAATGCATCATCTGATGTTGAAGTTGAAGAAAAAGAAACTAGTGTTTCAAAGGAAGATACTGACCATGAAGAAAAAGCCAGCAATGAGGTTTGTTTAATTTCTCTTGTATTCTAAACCTGTTTTTTTTTGCAAGGGAGGAATTGTAAAATGAGATGATTATTTGATCCAAACTAGAAAGTAATTGTTAACGTAGTTAAATAATGAATGAGAAAATATTTTTAAGGTTTATTTCATTGTGTTAATAGTAAGTTACTATTTATTATTAAATTATTTTATTGTAAAATAATTTTACATCTTAAGATGCATGGATGTTTTTATATGAAGTTATTTTGCTGTGTGAAATAGGAAGTCTAACTATAGGAGAGTAGATTACTATTTGTTGGGAATTTTTTTTTTTTTTTGTATGTGCCCGTAGCAGGAACCGAACCCAGGACTCTCTGGTCCGCAGGCCGAGGCTACAACCACTGAGCCAAAACGACCAGGGCTGTTGGGAATATATATATATATATTTTTTTTTAATCTTCACCCGAGGACATTTTTCCATTCTTTGCTCAGGTAGAGTGGGAGGGAGAGAGAGGAACAGAGAGAGAGAGAAACATGATGTGAAAGGAACACATCCAGTGGCTGCCACCCTCACGACCGACCAGGGCCGGGGACGAACTGCAACCGAGGTACGCGCCCTTAGCGGGAACCGAACCCGGGTCTCTCAGGACCGCAGGCCGACGCTCTAACCGCTGAGCCAAACTGGCCAGGGCTGTTGGGAATATTTTTAAAGTAAGGATTGTGTGATGGTTGTACTGGAAAGGACACTGAACTAGAATTTTATTTTATTTGTAATTGTTTTTCTTTATTTATTTTTAGAGAGAGGAAGAGATAGAAACATCAATGAAAGAGAACATCAATGGGCTGCCTCCTGCATGCTCCCTACTGGGGATCGGGCCCACAACCTGGGCATGTGCCCTGACCCCGAATGGAATCAGCGACCTCTTGGTGCATGGGTTGATGCTCAACCACTGAGTCACACCAGCCAGGCTTGAACTGGAATTTTAAAAACCTAGGTTTATTTCTTTTTTTTTTTCTTTATTGATTTTTAGAGAGAGAGGAAGGGACAAGGAGAGAGAGATAGAAACATCAATGAGCGAGAGCATCGATTGGCTTCCTCCTGTGTGTCCCCCACTGGGGATCGGGCCCACAACCTGGGCATGTGCCCTGACCAGAAATGGAAATGGCAACCTCTTGGTGCATGGATCGATGCTCAACCACTGAGCCACATCAGCCAGGCTCTAGGTTTATTTCTAAGTTTTTTTTTTTTTGACCTGTAACAAGAGTCATTTTGCCATTTTAGGCTCATGAAATGGTTATAAGACCATCTCCAAAGTCCCTATGACCTCTTAAAATTCAGAACTGTACTGTAGAAAAAGTGGTTTTATAAACTTATTTATTTATTTATCCTCACCCGAGGACATTTTTCCATTTTTTATTCAGACAGAGCAGGAGGGAGAGAGAGAAACATCGATGTGAAAGGGACACATTGAGTGGCTGCCACCCACATGACCCAACCAGGGCCAGGGACAAACTGCAACCAAAGAACATTCCCTTAGCAGGAACCAAACCCAGGTCTCTCTGGACACAGGCTGACGCTCTAACCGCTGACCCAAACCGGCCAGGACTATAAATTTAAATATATAAACTTTCTGGTGTATTAACAAGTGTAATTTTCAGATTTGATCTGACAGGAATAATATTTTTCTTTTTCTTTTTTGCATTTATTTTCAGATAAGCGGAGGGGAGAGAGAGAGAGAGATAAACATCGACATGAGAGAGACACATCGAGTGGCTACCTCCCACACAACCCCAACCAGGGCCGGGGACAAACTGCAACCGAGTCATGTGCCTCTATCAGGAACCGAACCCAGGTCTCTCTGATCCACGGGATGACGTTCCAACCACTGAGCCAAACTGGCCAGGGCTAATTTTTTTCTTTTTGGCATATACTGGCTATTATTTTGATCTCACAATGATAATGTTAAGACTTTTGATGTTTATAATTTCAAAGATTGGAGAAGCAAAACAGATTTTCCTAGTTGTTTTAGTGAAATGTACTTGTGACTTTTAGTTTAAGAAATGTTCTTTCAGTCTTGGCAAAATTTATTTAATTATTATTATTATTATTATTTTTTTAGGATGTGACTAAAGCAATTGACATAACCACTCCAAAGGCTGCCAGAAGAGGAAGAAAGAGAAAGGTAATTTTACTACTTAAACACAGGGAGCTGAAGATAATTTTTTAGTTGGATTAAGGAAGAGTATATAAAATGAAATCTTACCATTTAAATTTTTGCCTTTTACTCTAAATCCTTTAATTTTTTAAAGGGTAAGTTTTGTTTACTTATCAAAATTGTTTCTTTCCTTTTTAAAAATTTTAATCGCCACCTGAGCTTATGTTTTCATTGATTTTTTAGAGAGGAAGGGAGAGAAACATTAACGTGAGGGAGAAACATCCATTGGTTGCCTCCCATACACATGCAAACTGGTGACCTAGGTGTGTGTCCTGACTGAGAACCGAGCCCAAGACCACCCTTGGGTGCACAGGACAGCCCTCCAACCAACTGAGCCACACCTGCCAGGTGTGTTGGCAGGATAAGTTGAATGGTAAAGAAAATGAACCAATTTTTATATATTTTAATAATGCTGTTTCAGGTTTTAGCTATAAGTGGTTAATAATATAGCCCAGCTGGTGTGGCACAGTGGATTGAGTGTCATCCCATGGACTGAGAGATCCCAGTTTGATTCCTGGTTAGGGCATGTGCTCAGGTTTCGGGCTTGATCCCCAGTGTGGGGTGTGCAGGAGGCAGCTGATCGATGTTCCTCTCTCTCTCTAAAAAAATCAATTTTAAAAAAAAGTTTGGTAATATATACTCATGAGGTTGTTGAGAGAATTAAATGAGTTAACACATGTAATATTCATAATAAATCCTGGTACGCAGTAAGCACTAATAGAAGTGTTATTATTTTATTATTCTCAGAAAATTGTTACATGTAATTATAGTGACAGTTTAGTACTAGGTAGGTACATTGTATGCTTTCAACTAATGTTTCTTCCATATATGAAGTTTTGTTCACTCCTTTTTCTGACCTGTTTTTGTCTCAGGCTGTTATATACCAAAGATACAAAGAAAATTAAAAATAGTTCAGTTTCTTTTGAGGAAGTAAAATGGGAAAACTAATTACAGTGGCTTTTTATCCTGTGTGGGAGGTATGTGGAAGAGGCCATGATAACTTTTAAGATTTTAAATGATAGGAAGAATTTTGTCTGGCTGCTGAGGGCAGGAAGGACATGTGAGGCAATTAGAATAGCATATAGAGAAAATATTATTTCAAGCATTTCAAGTATTCCATTTCAGATAAAGTGAGAGGGAAAAGGCACAAAGAATTATTTGGGACAGCTTTAACTTAGAGAAGTGCTGGGAAGCCAGTGAATCACTATAAATTTTAGATGTATTATCTTAAAGCAGTATGGCCCTGGCCTGTTTGGCTCAGCGGTTAGAGCGTTGGCCCTCGGACCAGAGAGTCCTGGGTTTGGTTCAGGATAAGGGTACATACCTCGGTTGCATTTTGTCCCTGGCTCCTGTTGGGGTCATGTGGGTGGCAACCAGTCGATGTGTGTCTCTCACATTAATGTTTCTCTCTCTCTCTCTTCCTCCCTCTCTCCGTCCCGTGCTATCTGAAGGTAAATGCAAAAATGTCCTCAGGTGGGGATAAAAACAAACAAAAAAATAACAATAAAATAAAAAGCAAAAGAGTCCGGCCGGTGTGGCTCAGTGATTGAGCGTCGACCCATGCACCAAGAAGTTGCTGGTTCAATTCCTGGTCAGGGCACATGCCTAGGTTGTGGGATTGATTCCCAGTGGGGGGCATGCAGGAGGTGTCCAATCGATGTTCTCTTTCATCGATGTTCCTATCTCTCTCTAAAATCAATAAAGAAAAAAATATGCATTGTATATGATGGGAATTGGATTGGGCTGGCAATACCAGTTTACTGGTTAATTTATTCAGATTTTAGTACTAACTTCACTGGCCCAGGCAGAGAATTGAGCAGTGAATTAAAAAGATAAGGTCTCTGTTTTATTGAACTTACATTTTTGTTGAGACAGATAATAAATACATAAAACAAGAGAGTTCCTAAATGGGGAGTTATGATAGTGACTTGGTAATTAAGTTATGGAAGACTTTTTTTTTTTTTTTTTTTTTTTTAATCCTCACCTGAGGACATTTTTCCATTTTTTGTTCAGATAGAGTGGGAGGGAGGGAGAGAGAGAGACACCGAAAGGGACACATCAAGTGGATGCCACCCGCAAGACCAACCAGGGCTGGGGACAAACTGCAACCGAGGTACGCGCTTTTAGCGGGAACCGAACCTGGGTCTCTCTGGACCGCAGGTTGACGCTCTAACCGCTGAGCCAAACCGGCCAGGGCATGGAAGTCTTTATTAAGGAGTTAGCATGAGATTGGAAGGAGGAACTTTATAAAGTGGTGTTTTTGGTAGTGTAAATGAGAAGTGAGATTTAAGTGCACTTGAAGTATAGTTGATAGTTGATTGGAAGTGGGTGTGAAGGTTGGGGGGAGGGATCTAGGATTACTCTAAGGTCTTGGCTTGGATAACTAGATTAGATACTGAGAATGTAGGAGATGTTGATTTGGGAGCAGAGGCATGGGGAGGAGGAATTGAATATATAATATATATTATATATAGATATATATATTTCTGACACTAAAAGGGGGAAAAGGTAAAAGTCAAAGATGCCATTAGTGATATAAAGATAGAATACTAGATGAAGTAGTTGAGGTAGAAAGTTTACTGGGAAGAATGCAGAAATGAGAATCCTGAGTGAATATAATAGAGATGAAAAGTTATTACTTTGTAAAATTACTGTTGAGAATGAACTGTCAGAAGAAAAGCTAGGAGAGGACGAATATCAAAAAAGAGAACAGAATTTTAAGAATGAGGGGGAGTGGTCAGTAGGGCCTTGATGTAGGTTTCCAGTAAGATATGTAACAGGGTACCTTAAGGTCAGACAGACAGATGAAGTGTGCTGGTGAATAAAATGTGTCATGTTAAAGTGATCCTATGTTTTTGAAATCTTCGAAGGGAAGGAGAAAGAAGGCAGCAACAGGGATTTGTATGGTTAAGGGAGAATGTTTAAAGTGAAAAAACTACAGTAGAGGAATGAATGCGTCTTCGCAAAACTTAGGAAAGATCCAAGATGTGGAAAGATTAATTATTGTATGTAAGGACATACAGGATGAGAGAGAAGAGAGGGCACATTTGAAAGAATTGACTTACCAGGAGGAAGGAGATGGACATTTCATCCTTTTTAACATCGAAGGGAAGTGTAGACATGGTGTACACAATTAAAAATTTCTAGGGAGACTTGGAAATTCCTTCCTGTTGGCCTCAGTCTCTCCCTTCTTGTGCATTCAATTCAAAGCAAGGCTGCATGCATGGTATAGGCGGGAAGAAAGAACTGAAAGTTTATGCTAGTGAGGGGACAAGAGGAGGGTATTGCAAAAGATAGATCCTAAATGAGATTGCATATAATGAATGCATGTTTGTATATTTGTTTCAGGAGGGCTCAACAGCAGGAAAAACAGAGTTTTATAGTAATCCTCTGTTGGAGATTTGTGGGATAGGTGCAGCAAAACAACAATGTAGAGAGCTTGAAAGTGCATAAAAATACTAGTCCCATGAGGTGTATGTGTGGGGTGATTAGATCATGAAGGGAGTAGAGCTAGAAAGTGGGGAAATGGAGAGAAAATGTGTCAGAGAGTTAGAGGTTTCAGTGAGACCATGTAAAATAAGGAGAAATTTAGTCAATATTATCAAGATATATTAATATATGTACATGTTGAATAATATAGTAGTCTTTTCTCTGGATTAAATATTTCTTATTCTTTGATTATATTTTCATGAGGAATGAATTTTACTTGAATGATTTTGCCATAAGTTAAAAAACATGTTCATAGTTGAGCTGTTTTTTTGCTTAGGATTAGTGTTATTTTTATTTATGGTATTAGTTATTGATGAACTTGTTACCTCTTACTGGTATGTCATCAAAAGATCCATTCTACCTGTAAATTCATATGTGATGTCTTGATTTATTTGCAAAAGAAGAAAGTGTAAGTGAAGAGGTTTTATTTTGAACTGAAGAGCTCATCAGTTTGAACTGAATTTTTAGCCTTGATGCCTCAATAGAAAATTAACTCTCATAGTCTTGAGATCTCAATCTTTGATATCTGAGGAGCTGCCTGACTCCCTACCCCCAAGTTACTGAATCAGAATTGGGGTAGGGGTAGATGGTTTGTAAATGCTTAAAATTCTAGAAATATAACCTGAGCTATTTAGTAACAGTTTCTTTGAGAACAATTCAAGGGTTATGTTAGATGAGTTTATTGACTTTTTAATAATGCTTATATGTATTATATTCCAATTACAAAAGCGAAAATAATGTTTAAAAAACAAAAACAAAAAGGAAATGGATAAACTCTTAGAAAAGTTGGATTGCTGCCATGGCAGGTTTGGCTCAGCAGTTAAGAGTGTCAGCCCTCAGACTGAAGGGTGGCAGGTTTGATTCCCAGTCAAGGGCATGTACCAGGGTGGCAGGTTCAAACCCTGGCCCCCAGTCGGCTTCACAGGGAGGCAACCAATGGATACGTTTCCCTCACATCGATGTGTCTCTGTCTGTCCCTCTCCCTCTCTCCCACTCTATCTAAAAATCAATGGAAAAGTATCTTAGGGCAAGGATTAACAACAAAAAAGAAAAGAGGGATTGCTGAGTAAGATTTGCATATTCTTTATTGCCAGTATTCATTCATAAAGATATTCCTTCAGAAAGATGTTACCAGTTTATTGATCATTACTTATTGATCACCAGTAATCAATATATGAATACTCCACATCCATGCCAATATTGGGCATTATCTTGTAAATGTTTGCAAATCAGATTTTGAGTAAAAGATTTCTAATTTTTTCATTAATAAGATTGGATTGTGCTTGTTTTTGCTTTATTGCCTTTAAGTTGCTCTAAAGTTGAATGCTATATAATTCAGGGTGGGGAAGCAATTCTCTTCACTGTTTCTTCCCTTTTCTATTATGATGAAGATTGTACTTTCTTTCTCATTAGTGTTTCCTACCCTTTGTTCTACTCTAATACTTAAATCAATTAAATTGATTTTTATTTGTGTCTGTTGTCCCCTGGGGACATTATAGTTTGCAAAGGGTCATTGGGATTTCTTATTTTCTACATGGTAATAAATCTCCCTTTATAGAAAATAAGGATAACAGATCTCAGCCTGGCTGGAGTGGCTCAGTTGGTTTAGCATCTTCATGTGCAGGGGTTACAGGTTCCTGGTCAGGGCATATATATGCATTGCTGGTTCCATTCCTAGTCGGGGTGTGTATGGTCGGCAGCTGACAGGAGGACAACTGACTGATGTTTCTTTCTCACTCTCCCTCTTTTCCTCCTTTTCTCCTTCCCTCTCTCCAACCATGTCCTCAAGTGAGGATCAAAAAACAAAAGAATAACAGATCTCAGTTCAAAAATAAAATGTGGCTCTGACCAGTTTGGCTCAGCAATTAGAACATCAGCCCTTGGACCAAAGAGTTGCGGGTTCAATTCCAGTCAAGGGCACATACCTCAATTGTGGTTTGGTCCCCGGCCGTGGGTCATGCGGGAGGCAGCCAGTCAATGTGTCTCTGTCACATCGATGTTTCTCTCTTTTTTTCTCCCTTCTCCCCTTCCTCCCACTCTATCTGAAAATGGATGGAAAAATATCCTCGGGTGAGGATTTAAAAAATAAATAAAAATAAAATGTGTACATATTAATAAAGTTAAAAAAATCAGCACTTAATTTCTTGCCTTTTCTAATATTAGAATATTAACTTGGGTTCTATGTTATAAGTATACAATGTAAAATGCTAGCATTTTTAGATATTTAAAGTACATTTATAAGCAATGTGTGGGTTGTTACAGTGTAATTACATTATACTTTGGTCACTCTTCTGCACCGAGAATATTATCTTTATTTTTCCAAATTATTTTTTTAGGATGAAAATATCTAAAAAGTAAAGTTTTTGGTTTTTTTTTTTAGAATTGTTCCCTAGGATCATGAGCTAAGTTTGAGGATTTCACTTGATGAGTCAGCTGTTCAAAAATAAAGAGCATATGGAAATTATGCTTATACTTGAAATTGTTATCTTAGAGTGGCATAATTTGGCAACTGACTAAAATCTGAATGGCTACTATTTACTAAATTAAGTTAATTAAATCTTTGTGATTCAGGCAGAAAAACAAGTAGAAACCGAGGAGGCAGGAGTAGTGACAACAGCAACAGCATCTGCTAATCTAAAAGTGAGTCCTAAAAGAGGACGACCTGCAGGTAGGATTATTAATGTTAAAACTCTCGCTTATGGTTAATGTTACAGATCATTTAAGTGTTGTGCCTCAGATACTGTGGAATAATAGGCAACTGATTATGTATAATACACAAGTTTTAAAGGAGATCAACTTAGTTTCTGCTCTGTGTGTTGAAGTATTTACATTTGAAATAATTGCTTGGGACTTTTCCTTTTTCTATTTTAACCCTTTTATATTTTCACCTAATAGTGGCACATGAGGTGGTGGTGAGGTTTAAATTACATGGATGATGGGTTTATTTTACCCCTTACTGTAGAGAGCATAGCTTTTAAAATGGAGTCATAAGAAAGCAAGAGAAATAGCATTTGAGTAAATAAAGCTATAATATTTTAAATGATTGCATTCTTTGTTTAGAATCTTTACAATATGCAGCTATCCTCAGCAGTGAATTGTGATACAAATTTTCAAAGATGTGAATGTACATATACACATAATATGTATATGAATATTGGATATAAGTGCTGCTGTCATAATTTTGTGATACTATTAAAACAACAGTGAAGGATGTTCTTTTAAGCCCTCTTATAATTGAAAATTACTTTGTTAATTTATCTCTTCAAATTTTTAATTGTTGTTCACTTGAACCACTGGGAGGGGGTATTATCTTTAAAACTTAAAATAACAGTATCTCTAATAAACCACTAACTAATAGTCTTAGTATATAGGGGTGAGCAAAAATAGGTTTACAGCCCTGGCCAGTTTGGCTCAGCGGTTAGAGCATCGGCCCACAGACCAGAGAGACCCAGGTTTGGTTCCCGCTAAGGGCACGTACATCGGTTGCAGTTTGTACCCGGCCCGAGTTGGGGTCATGTGGGTGGCAACCACTCAATGTGTCTCTCTCACGTTGATGTTTCTCTCTCTCTTCCTCCTTTTCTCCCTCCCACTCTGTCTGAAGATAAATGCAAAAATGTCCTCTGGGAAGGATTTAAAAAAAAACTTTACAGTTGTTGATATGGTTATGATTATTACAATAGCTTTAGTCAAAAGAATGTGACAGTGCACTTAAGTATAGTCTCTTAAGTGCTCAATTGCTGGCCTTCACTATTTACGCATTCTTGTAATCTGTTTGCTATATACTCCAGCACACTTTCACACAGAGTTCTTTATTGCCATCAGTAAACCTACTTTTGCCCACCCTTGTATATCATTTGTAATTTTTCTATATGAGATTTGCACTTGAAGGGAAATCTGGTAGTTACAGGTTTTTTTTCCCCCCTGTGAATGTTAGCTACAGAAGTCAAGATTCCAAAACCAAGAGGCAGACCCAAAATGGTAAAACAGACCTGTCCTTCAGAGAGTGACATGTGAGTTCATTTTTAATGTATAAATAATTATGTAATAAATTAGACATTTGACTTTAAATAAACAAATCTCTTCACATTTTTATCAGTTTCATTTTACAGGATATTTGTTGTTATTCCATATTTCTAAAAATTATGGGGAAACCGTTTTTATTACATTAAAATTGATTTAAAAAATAGATAATGCAAGGTAAAATCTGTAATAGGGAATTGGGCAAAATAGTGTGTTTGAGGAAATTTTATACAAAGGATTCTTGAAGCAATTTCCACAAATATTTTTCAAGTTCCACCAGGATAACTTGCTTAAAAATAATGCTGAAATTATTTTTAATGCAGATGTGAAATTTTAAAGTATTTTGTAATGATAACTTTCAGTTATCAGCAAAATAATCAGGTTTTTCCCTCCTATGCTGACTTTTCTGGGTAGAAACTTTACCAGAAACAATGTATGTTTAGACAGAGGACAGAACTTGTTTGTAGCTGTTGTGTTTAAGATTTTATAGAGAATGCTCAAGTGTGTAATACATCACTTAAGAACAGATTTACAATGCTTTGAATGAATTTTAGTTATAGAACACTGGAAGTTGGTACTTTTCAACCAAAATGTATTTCAAGTGTTTTATTTTACTGCCAAACTAACTACTAACGTATTCTCAAAAATGGCACAAATTTACAACATAGTTTTAACCACTGTAGTGAAATTAAGTTAGATACATATGCAGGTGAGTTTGTTTTTGTTTTAAAACACACCCAATAGATCTCATTCATTCCAACCCTTAGATGAATCATGGCATTAGGCACAATGTATTCTAGGATTTCATGATCAACTTAAGGCCTTACTCTGGAGACTTAGGAATGGAAAACACACATTATCTGCTCTCCTTTCCCCTTTAGACACCCATGTAAATCTGTGATAGGGAACCACAATAAATACTCCCGTTTGAAAAGGAGAACTTTACAAGGTACAAGGCATCGTTGGTAGGAAATCTGAAATTATTTTGGGAACATACTGTGAGATTCCCCCCTATTTTAGATCTAAGGAATGTTTGCTTGATCATGCCCCAGTTTCCCCTGAGAGTATCTTCCTAGTCCATTTCTCTCCTTGGTTTTGGCTGATTCCTCTGAGAGTTCTATACTTTTTCATCATCCTGAGTTGCATCTGAAAAGGTCATTGTAAAATGTTAGCATCCTTATCAACTAAGCAGTTCTCAGTCTGCTTTCAGACGATGAGAAGTTGGGGGCCCAAGGTTCCTTTTTATATCTCCATTACTTTTGATGTAGTCTGGTGTCACTTTTGGTAATAATACTTTATTGTTAGTTTGTTTGTCCATATTGCATTCTAGTCAGCTTCGTGTGCAGTGTGGTCTCACTCAAGCTACTTTGAGTTTATAGGTTTTCCTGAGAAACCATCTCTTGGTCTCTGTTTCCATTTGTTCATCTGAAGGATCAAGGTAGCTTAATTTTAATTCTTCAGGAAAGGCTGGCAGCTTACCCTTGATTGGATTTTTGGCCCAGTCTTTGACTTTGAAAATCTTTTACAGGTTTGGAGGCCACTTTCAATACTAAAATGCATGGAATTTTTAGTTCTCCTTCATCTTCGTATTCTTTTTTTTTTTTACTTCATTTTTTATTTCAAGTACTCTATTAAATTTATCTTGATAACCAACTCAATCCAAGCATTCTATCCTGAAACCTCTTTACCCATTTTCTTGAGTCATCATATGTTACAGTTTTACCCATTGTATAATAATGTATTAGAGTTCAGTTTCCCAGCCTCAAAGCCAGGTCACATATTTTACGTTTTTGTTACTGGTATAACAGCTTTTTGCTGAGGTAATGGAGAACCCCAAAGTAGCAGTAACTTAGTATATTTATTTTTAATTCATTTTATATGTATGCTGGGCATTGGCAATAGCCACTCTTGGCTGTGTGTCTGGGCACTAATTCAGTGGACACAGCTAAATTATATAAGCTGTTTTAGAACTTCTGTCCTCCATGAGAACAGCATGTATATCTGTCAGTGATAGCTTCTTTGTAGTGGGTCCGGAAATGACAAGACAGTGGAATAAGCCCTGAAATCATCTCATAATGCTTGTGTAAAGTAAGAAATATTTGTTATAAGCCACTGAGATATTTAGGGTGTGTTTGCATTAGGTTTTGTTTATAGTGTATATTAAGACTAAAGGAATTTGCAAATACAGTTTTCCTATTGTAACTTGACCTATTCAAAAAGGAAGTTGTCACTATGGGGAAATCTGTTTTTCATGGAAGGTGGTAAGGAGGACCATTGGGACAATTATTTGTAGCAAGCGGTGATCATTACATTTATGAAAATTCTCTGCTTTGATAATGTTCATAAAACCTTAAAATAATAATCCTATTTCTTATGACCTTATATTTTCTAATCATTTTTTAAAAAAAAACAACTATGATATTCCACTGCGTGTTACAGTAATTCTTCAGATCCACCCCATTTATAAGCTACATCCTTTTAAAAACATTATCTTTTATTGTTTCGACCATGTGCAAATTATTGGTAAGAATACATTGCTAGAAGCAGATTTGCTGGGTCAAAGGTTATTTGTATTTTTAATATCTGCGTCCTTCCATGGGGTGGGTTAACATCTGGGGGAGGCGACTGGTCAGTATCTAGTAAGAGCCATGAAAATGCTTTTTATATTTGACTATCCCCATCTCAATGAAATTGATTATTATCAAGATACTCACATTTGTGGAAATGTTGAATAAAGTTAAATTTATTTCATGCTTTTTCGTCCTTTGATTAAAAGTAAAGGCAGAATAAGAATTTAAATTACTTCATGCAGTGAGCAGTTGACCGAAAAACAAAGCTGGGGGTCTCAGAGCAGCTTCTCTTGGCTCCTGGACGAGCAGGTGGAGTGGTTTTTCAGACACAAATTATCATCTTGTCTTACCCTTCAGATTCACTTCGCAGATCTCTTGTGAGACAGGAATAAATGGTGTGGAGCCAGATGTGATGTCTCCTTTATATAGGTGATTTTCATAAAATTTGGAAGAGTGATGGGTGTCAGGGGCCAAAGATTACAAAACTAAAAACACTGTTCATTGGCAAGATGACCTTAAGCAGCAAAATCATCTTATCTCTGATGGTTCAAAAGCACACCTTTGGGATGTGCACATGGAATATAATTCTCTGTTGTTTTCTCACCCAAGCTCAGAAGGTGTGTTTTATTGTTGCTTTACTTTTTCAGTGCCCTACCATTCTGGTTTTCAATTCACAGGAAAATCAATGAGCTGCTGTTGCATGTGGTACACAGGCAGCGACATATTATATAGTGCACAGTATTGGCAAGGTTTTCAGAATTTCAAAACCAAGCAATTCAGCAGTATAGCCTACACAATTTTCCTAAAACTAGTGTGGAAAGTGAGTTTATTTATATGGGCTCTAAAATCCATGTAGAAGAGCAACATCCAAGAATAACAAAGACAATATTCAAACAGAACAGTAAGAGAAATTTGTCCTAACAGACAAAGAGACAATGTATATAACAATCCAGAGAGTGTGGTACTGGTGCAAGGAGAGAGAACTGGAACAACTGAGCAGAATTAAGAGCCCAGAAACAGACTCAAGCATATATGAAGTCTAAATATATGATAGAAAAGGCACAGCAAATCACTAATCATTAAACATCTCAGCTCCTGAAGGCCATTCTAGAGTTCTTGCCACTCGGCAGCCCCCATAGGCCCTCTCACATCATAGCAACTTACTTTTTCTTTGACAGACACAGAATTTCTCTCATGCCTTGAATCTCTTTCTTGAGGAAAAGCTCATTTCCTTTAGAAGACTCACCTGATTAGGTCAGGCTCACTCAGGATACATTTTTTTTTCTTTTTTTCTTTCCTACAACGAGATATAATTGACAAAATTGTAACATATTTAAAGTGTGCAATGTGATAATTTGATAAGTGTATATAATTTGAGAAAAGTCCCACTGTGTAGTTTATAAACACATCCACCATACTTATCCACGATAGTTACCATGCTGTACATTAGATCCTCAGACCTTATTCATCTTGTAATAAAAAGTTTATACCCCTTTACCAATTTCTCCCTATTTTCCCCATTCCTCTGTCATTGGTAGCCAACATTCTACTTTCTGTTTCTATGAGTTTGCTTTTGGTTTTTGTCTTTTTTTTTTTTAAGAGTCAACATAGAAGTGATGCCATGCAGTGTTTGTCTCTTTGTGGTTTGTTACACACACACACACACACACACACACACACACACACACAGAAACCCATTTGACATTTGAAAATAAGCATACCTAATGATAGTTAATGTGACAAAATTTTTCAAGAGATAGAGGAATTTTTTTCATATGCTTAATTGTCCATATAGTTTATAAGTTGGGAGCCTTTTACCTTGCAAAGAATATTTCTTATAATTCTAAAATAACTATATTTGATAGAATGTAGTTCACTTCTGCAATTGTCCTTTTCCAGTATCTCTACTTTCAAATATGTACAATAGAAGTTTAAAAGGTCCAGGGATCTCACCTATCTTACATACACACTGCTATATTCTGTCAAGACAGTGGTAACCTGGCAAGTAAGATAATACTTGAGATTTTTTTCAGTGAATGAGTCACATTATAAAAAATTTATAAAAAAAAAACAAGGGGAAGCATTTTTCTGTTACCCCAATGCCATTGTAATTTTTGTATCTTGTAATTTATATTAAAAGGATGTTCTTTTCCATTAGTGACTGGATCCATTATATTTTACTTAAAAATTTTTTTAATGTTTTTAAATTAAAAAATAAAGTATAGCGTATTGTTTTCTAAAATAGTTATTTTGACTGACTGGGAGAATTTGGTTGAAGTATTAATAGTAACATAAAAGTTTATTTTCCATTGTTGCATCCTCTAAAATAGGGTAACTGAAGAAGACAAAAGTAAGAAAAAGGGGCAAGAGGAAAAACAACCTAAAAAGCAGCTTAAAAAAGATGAAGAGGGCCAGAAGGAAGAAGATAAGCCAAGAAAAGAGCCAGACAAAAAAGAGGGGAAGAAAGAAGTTGAATCAAAACGGAAAAATTTAGCTAAAACGGGGGTTACATCAACCTCTGATTCTGAAGAGGAAGCAGATGATCAAGAAGGTGAAAAGGTAGAATGTTTAACTATCAAATAGAATATTTGTTTTATTTTTAGTTTAATATATAGTTCTTAATAAACTCAGTTATCTCTGAGAAAGTCTATATATGTGATTATAAGTTAAACTGAATTTACCATGTTAAAAAGCTTATCTTTATTGTACATTCTAAATTTATCTTTTCAAGATTACGATATGAACATTAAGTACTATAAACTTCTTTAAGTTTATTGGAATGACATTGTTTAATAGGATCATATAATTTTCAGGTGTACATTTCTATGATACATGATCTTTATATAATAACTCCACCTATATAGAAAGGAAAGTAGAGATTAAGCCAAATGGGTTATAAGCAGTGAAGGCATCTAGATGTAAAAGGGTACCTTTATATATAGATTTTTATTATTTGCCCCACTGAAATTCTTACTCTTGAGGCCTACTCTCTACATTTTATTAGTAGTACTTTATTTGGGTGCAATAGTTGCTTAGGAATTTCATTTAAGCTATGCATCCTTTTCTGTGTATAGCCTTGGAGATCTGTAGACCCAGTTTGTAGATATTTTATTATTATATGATTACTTAATACTTTAGAAGCCAAAACTTAAAATTTTTTGAGCAGTGTAACTATCAGTAAACAGGTACTGAAGTAAAAATAATAGTGTAGAGACAAACAGCCTGACACATACTTCATTTTAAATATTTTTTTCTTTATTTATTTTAGAGAGAGAAATAGAAATCTCGATGAGAGAGAACATTGATTGGCTGCCTCCTGCATGCCCCTCACTGGGGATTGGGCTCAACCTGGGCATGTGCCCTGACCAGGAATCGAACCAGTGACCTTTTGATACATGGGTCAACGCCTAACCAGTGAGCCACACGGGCTGGGCTGTATAATTCATTTTATTTTATTTTTTTGTACGTGCCCCTGGGGGGAACCAAACCCGGGACTCTCTGGTCCAGTGAGCCACACTGGCCGGGCTGTATAATTCATTTTATTTTATTTTTTTATACGTGCCCCTAGCGGGAACCAAACCCGGGACTCTGGTCCGCAGGCCAACGCTCCAACCGCTGAGCCAAAGTGGCCAGGGCCTGTATAATTCATTTTAAACAAAGGACATCCTATAGTAGTGCAGAAAATAGATTTTAATTCCCAAAATCATCAAGGAAAATTTCAATTTAGCAACAACATGTATAATTCTGAGATTAACTAAATCCAATTTAATTCTCAAAACAGAAGAGGAAAGGAAGAAACTTTCAGACTGCTCATAGAAGGAATATGCTGAAAGGCCAACATGAGAAAGAAGCAGCAGATAGAAAACGCAAGCAGGAGGAACAAATGGAAACTGAGCAGTAAGTATTTTTTTATTCTACATTTTGATTTCTTTCTAAAGCTAGCATGACATTTTAAAACAATGGAATCTCATTTTCCAGACCTTACGAAGCCTTTTTAAAGAAATTACTTTTCCCATGTGATAGGATAAAATCTTCAGTATTTGATGATAATCATGTTTCAGGCTCCATATTTTTTTTCTAAGAGGATGAAATTCACCAAGGGTAATTACCCTCTGAATTATTTTTAATTTAAACTCAAAATGCAGATAAGATTTAACTGTTAGTAGTTTTGTAGAAAATGTCTTCATCCTCTACTAAAGAGTGGAATTGAAATAGCCTTATTTATTATACCACCAGCAGGCCTCTCTCAAAAGACCAGCAAAAATAACAAAAGCACAGTTGGAAACCCAAAAGCCAGTACAGTAAATTTAAAGGCTGACAGGGTTTGCATTAGACGTGTGTAATATAAATCAAGTTCTCTTAGGTTTTCATATTTGAAGATAATATATACTTAACATAGGGAACTTTTTCCTTTAATTTTATCCTATGAAATAATTTTATTTAAAGGAAAATAGCAATGACAATGATAATTAGGCTTCATGTGTTACATTTGTTTTCCTAGTTATCTTTAGACTGTCACTTCTGAGTTCTTTGTGAATCATCTTGCATTATTCTGGTTAGACCTTTTTTGGTTTTAGTGAGGTGATGTTAAAAACTTGCTCTAGGTTACTAAGACAGACTTGATAAGCAGTAAAATTCTTTAGAGTACTCGTTAAAAGTTTTGTACTTTTTCTTTACAAGTATAGCATTTGACTGCTTTCTTAATTTGGAGGATATATAAGCAGTTTCAGCTGCATGAAGGAGTAATAAAAACTGATCTAAAACTCAGAAATGTTACTCCCTCTTATCTGTTAAGACTTGGACCATTTCTGTGAATATTAGTTATTTTTTCTTCCTGTCCTTTTCAATTCTTTTCATTGAAAAGTTTTGCATTGTTTGTTTTTTACCTTATTGTGCTCTCCAAATTAAGATATAAAATTAGACATTGCTTAGTAAAAAAATCTAACCCAATCCTTCCTTAATAATCCAAAGTTATTTTTATGTATTTCAATTTCTTTTTGAATGTCCTCCGAATGTAACTTTCTCAAATTCTAATATTTGTGTTTTCTTTCCTTCTCCTGTTATTACAAAACTTTGTACTTGGACAGTTTTGCTCTGTAAAGCATTTCAGATGCAGCTTGTATGAAATGCATTATGCAAAATAAAGTTTATTGTATTGTATTCCCAGCCAAACAACATGTAATCTACAGTAATAAAAAATATATCTCATTTTGGGCTCAAAGCATTAATCCAGTTACTGAAAAGAAAATACAAGTGGAGCAAACAAGAGATGAAGATCTTGAGACAGACTCATTGGACTGAATTTCCCCCTCCCCCCCTTTGATGGAAGAATGTTCCAGATTCTAAATTGAGGACTTCATTAATGGCATTAATACTGTGTTATGATTGTTAAATTTCCTGTAAGGTACACACTACATACTAAGGTCGGCAAAAGTTTTTTTCCAAGCTTAAAATGAAGCTTTGTGTATGAAAAATTAGAATAAGCTGAAAAGATGGTGGTTGTACATTATTTCATTTAGAAAATATAAAAATTAATTTTGTTTTGAAGTTAGGTGTTGAACTGGAATAGCTATTATACTCCAGATAATGGGGCAGTTGTGCCCTTCCCTTGACATTCCTTTGTTGTTTAATTCTTTAGAATCTTAATTGTTTTTTTAATCCTGAGAGATTAAATATAGCCTTGTTAAGAACACAAAAATGAAACTGTAATCAAAATTTTAAAATAAAGTTTTTTTAAAAAAAACACCCTGATTTTTAGATATTTTTTGTTCTTGTCTATTTGAATTGGTTTACAATAAGGCTCAAACTCCAAGCCAAGGTACTAGAAATTAATACTTCATTTTTTAAAATGGTTATTTACAGTAACATGGTACCTTTTCATTTGTGAAATGGTATGTAAATGTTAGTGAATATCATCTAAGCTTGATATATTGGCAAAAAGCATTTTTATAAAATACTATTATCTTTAAACAGCCTATTTAATGTGGAAATGAACTTCAGACCCCTGATATTACCCTTTGGAGATGTGGGAACAATTAAATGTCTTTTATGACATGTTACTTTTTAAAGTAAGTGTGATGTGGAATTTACAAAACAATTGTAGGCATTCTCTTCTCACTATGGCCCGTTTGTCCATAGGCCCTGATAACTGGTCTTGTAACAATACACTATTTATTGCTGGAAAAAAAATTTCATCATGTTGACTATTAAAATTTTATTTGTGATGCCAATGAAACATTAGACTGTTCTGTTATTTTAGCCTGTTTTTTCAAATTCTGAGTTGCTTATATGTACAGTCAATGCTATGGCATTGCAGTTATAAGAATTATATATAGGCAGTTACTTGTGTCTAGGCTAATGCCTCACGATTTTAAAGGAAAAGATTGTTAACTTTTACATAAGGGATTATGAGCATTTGGTAATCAGTCACAAAGTTCCAATGTTTTCAAATATCTGTGTTAACATTTGATAGGCAGAATAAAGATGAAGGAAAGAAGCCAGAAGTTAAGAAAGTGGAGAAGAAGCGAGGTTAGTTATTTTACTTTCTAAGATATATCAAGTTATACACAGAAAGTTTATACAGACACTTAATATTTTTATGATTAGGTTTTTAAATGTCATTTCATGTTCTTAAATACTACAAATAAGTTTTTTTCAAATCCCTCTTGGATTTTATATGCATTGCACTATATTGTAACCAAGTGAACTTGTTAACGAGTCATGTTTATTTTTAATACTCATGAGATTAAGGCAATTTTTGTAACATTGCCAAAAGCTAGATATTTTCCCATTTTTGACAAATCTGGTTTCTGTTAGAGATTCTGTGCTTTCTCATTAAATGTGGAAGGTGAAACAGTGTTTGAAGATTAGAATAGGAGTCTATTGGGTGCAGAGTACTTACTTGAGAAATATGAAGCTAGACGGTGATTTTTCCCTTACATAATGGATGCTGCTTTCCTAAACCAAATACTAAGAATGGCAGATAACTTCTGAGTGATATGGGCAGATTACTAAAAACATTTTAAAAATTTACCAAATCTCTCCATTATACTTTGTTTATGTTACAAAGAAATACTGTTTTTGGAAAAACTATTTATTGTTTCATTTTAATTTATAGAAACATCAATGGATTCTCGACTTCAAAGGATACATGCTGAAATAAAAAATTCACTCAAAATTGATAATCTTGTAAGTGTTTATCTCTCTCTTTTTTTTAAAATCCTCACCTAAGGATATTTTTCCATTTATCTCCAGATAGAGTGGAAGGGAGGGAGAAAGAGAAACATCAATGTGAGAGGGACACATTGGTTGCTTCCCACACGACCCCAGTCAGGGCTGGGGATGAACCACAACCAAGGCATGTGCCCTTGACCGGAATCGAACCCGGGACTCATTGGTCCCCGGGCTGACGCTCTAACCACTGAACCAAACCGGCCAGGGCAGTGTTTACCTCATTTCAAAATACAGTGCTGCTCTTACAGCTTCTGATTCTCTCACATTTTATAAGTATTTAGACATTTAAGATAAAAGGGAATATCATGGGTTATTTTTTACTGCCTTGTTATTTGAAATTTTTTATAAAAGTAGATTACAAATGTTGTGGTAATTAACAGTTATAAAATTACTGTTTTGTGAAGGATGTGAACAGATGTATTGAGGCCTTGGATGAACTAGCTTCCCTTCAGGTCACAATGCAACAAGCTCAGAAACATACAGAGATGATTACAACACTGAAGAAAGTAAGTGATCTTAAGTCTTGCAGATTTTAAATTTTTCCTCAAAACCACTTCATTAAAAAGTAACATAAAAATCAGTTAGGAAAATAATTATGTGTATTTTGTTTTTTCAGATACGGCGATTCAAAGTGAGTCAGATTATAATGGAAAAGTCTACTATGTTGTATAACAAGTTTAAGAACATGTTTTTGGTTGGTGAAGGAGATTCTGTAATCACACAAGTGCTGAATAAATCTCTTGCCGAACAAAGACAGCATGAAGAAGCAAATAAAACCAAAGATCAAGGGAAGAAAGGGCCAAACAAGAAGCTAGAAAAGGAACAAGCAGGTATGTATGTGGTAATAAATTCTTTGCTGGGACTGCTTTTAACAAAATGGCTTTTGTTTGTTTTTGTTTTTTAAATCCTCACTTGAGGACATTTTTCTATTTTTTGTTCAGAGTGGGAGGGAAGGAGAGGAAGATAGAGAGAGAGAAACATCCATGTAAAAGGGACACATGAGGCTGCCACCCACACGACCAACCAGGGCCGGGGACCAACTGCAACCAAGGTACACGCCCTTAGTGGGAACCAAACCCAGGTCTCCCTGGACCACAGGCTGACACCCTAACTGCTGAGCCAAACTGGACAAGGCCAAAATGGCTTTTATATATATCAATATCTTATCTACGTTAAATTACGAAAAGGTCTCTTCTGCATGTAGCAGAATATAGTGATGTACTCAACCTTAGCATGTTTTTCTTTTAGTTAATACTAGTATTTACTATTAGAATAGATTCTTGGAAGAATGTGGGAGTTAGGAGTACTGAACCCCTTTGCAGTTGAAAATCCACATAGAAGTTTTGACTCCCCTGAAACGTAACTACTAATAGCCTACTTTTGACTGGAAGCCTTACCACAACAGTCGATTAACATATTTTGTATATGCATTCTATACCCTAGTCTTTAAAGAAGCAAGTTAGAGAAAATGTTTTCTTTATTGATTTTAGCGAGAGAGGAAGGGGGGGGGGAGAGGGGAGAGAGATAGAAACGTTGATGTGAGAGAACATTAATTGATGACCTCCTGCATGTCCCCCACTGGGGACTGGGCCCACAACCTGAGCATGTGCCCTGACTGGGAATTGAACTGGTGACCTCTTGGTGCATGGGTCAATGCTCAACCACTGAGCCACACCAGGTGGCCGAGAAAATGTTATTAAAACATATTTACTGTGTTTATTGAAATACTGCAGTTTAAACCCATGTTGTTCAAAGGTCACCACTACTAATAGTTCTCTTTGTTTAAATTAGGAAAAATTTCTTACCTACACAAAAGTGGAGAGAAATGAACTTCTTATGACCCCCATCACCCAACTTCAGTTATCAGTAAATGACCATTGCTGTCTTATATCCCCATTATGTTTTCTGTGACACTCCCAAAGATTTATTTCAAAGCAAATTCCAGATAATGCCATTTGAACCATAAATATTTTATGATGTGTCTGTGATGGACTCTTAAAAACAGAGTCAGTACCATTTACCAGTTCCTCAAACTCTGTCTTAGCAGCAGCGGCTTAATGGAGAAAACAACTCAAAAGGAGTTGGACTTTTTTTTTATTCATTTATTATGGAATGATATATAGGTGTCCTTACAGATGTGTTAAGATTTACATGGAAGCCATTATTGTTTACTTAGTAATAGGGCACAAAATCATGTTAATTAGAAGTACTATTTTTGACATGTTCTGTTTTAAAAAAGCAATGATATGTATGAGATTTCACTGATTCATTGTTTTTTCTGAGAAACAGAATGAATCATAAAGCTCCAAAGGGCTGTACTACCTTGTTCCTGATAACAGTAACAAAAGAAATAATCAGATAATGATCTACTTTCTGTCCCCATACATAAATATAGCAACCCTGCTTCTTACTGTGTGCCTCAGCTACACTAAGGAGTACAAATAAAATACATTATTAGAAATTTCTGGACCATGTTTTATTTTTGATTTTGATCTTAAATGTACTTATTTTCATTGGAATCCTTCTAAAGGTTCAAAGACTCTAAATGGAGGATCTGATGCTCAAGACAGTAATCAACCACAGCATAATGGAGACAGCAATGAAGAAAGCAAAGATGAGGCCAGCAGTAAGAAAAAGTGAGGACATGTTTTAATGGGTTGTAATGTGTTTAATTTTTAAATCATTGTTCCAAGGTTATTTGTGTAAGGGATTATATTTTGATCATTCAGTTCCTGAATTCAGGAAACAAGATGTAAATCAAAAAGGCAAAATCATAAAAATCTTTCTTTACAAGTAATTTGCCACTGTATTCAAGGGAACAGCTAGACAGGAATCCAATTTTTAAAAAATATCTATGTTAGACTAATTTCACTAAATATACCTTTACTAATTACTTGAATTCATACTTTCTTAAATTGTGACAGGACAGTAAAAAATTAGATCTAGAATCTCAGGCTATTTTGTATTGTGATACCCACTCTAGATATGGAACCATAGTATCCAAGTCTTGGTTTGTTCTGCATATTAGGACTTGTAGTCAAGCATCTATTCTAATTCTGAAATTCAGAGAAATCCTGTCTATGTGTGTATCCCCTCTTTTCATTAAGGATGGGAACATGCTGGTTTCACAAGTATAATATGTTCATGTTCTTTAAAGAGAAAGGGCCTGGACCATGATACTTCCCTGAGATATTATGCTTGATCTGCATATTTTTAGAAAGGTAGAACATGGTGAAAGAAAAAGTTTCACCCAAAAATAATAACTCTAAATCTTTGGTGATTAAAAAAAAACAAAAACAAAAAACCCTTAATCCCAGTTGTCATACCTTTTTTCCCCCCACTTTTCTTTAGGCCATCCAGTGAAGAGAGAGAGACTGAAATATCTCTGAAGGATTCTACGCTAGATAACTAGGTTGACATACCTGGAATATAAGGAACATTTGAGAAGTTTGTAATGGTTTTCATTAGAAATATTTAGACTGCTGAAAGTTTTAAATTTTTATAAGCATAGGTTTTGATGTTTAAAACTTGTTTTGAGGGAGCAGAATCCCTTTATCTTTGTTTAAAAGTAATTAAACATTGCTTAATTGTACTTGTGCAGTATTAACAGCTACATTATACAGTGAATGAGGGAAAATCCATGTAGGAAATGTTGAACTGCTTTTCAAGACATGGGTTGTAGCATATTTTCAATTAGTGTGTGTATGTTAATGTGTACTTGATAGTAGGAAAAAGTTACATTTTTAAAACTGCTACTTGTATAAAACCTTTGCTCTTTTCCCAAATACTGTGGGTTTCGTGAATGGTTTTTACAAATCTTGGATTTATCAGACTGTCTTTTCAACTGTTTGTGGGTTTTGTAGAAGTTACACATTTTTATGGTAGATAAAATGTTACTTCTATATAAGTACTCCCTTCTATCTAAAATTAATCTCAGTCTACATTGTGCTACATTATCCCGCTGCTTTGTAACTGTGTGGTCTGTATGCCTTTTTGTATGACTAGATACACAACTGACATTGAACTGACAATTCCACAAAGTACAAAAATTCATGTTAACTTTGGAAGGTAATTTAATTTTTTTGGCTGGGAATTCAGCAAAGTCACATGATTTTTCTGAAGAGAGCAGAATGGGTGTACATAGGATTGAATCTGGCTCTAGGCTTCAGCCAGTTAAGATCCTTTACAGGTACTAGTAGCTGAAACTGAAAACTAAATGAGAAAAGTTTATTTTTGAGACATTTCTGAATTTTTTAAAAAAAGTCACACTCATTAAACAAGTCACTAAGTGTGGTATTTTTTTAATTGGAAAACAATCCATGATGCTTATACAGTTAAGTAAAAAATACTATATAAGGAAACTAACCTATTTGAAAATATGGCTATATCAGAAGGGAATTTTTATTTCTATATTGAGCATGTGACAGGACTGCAAAAAGTGGAAACATCAGTTGCTCTGAGGCAGTAGACAAAGGAAAGGAGTGGGGTGTTTTGATAACCTGTGTATTCACTTATTCGGACTAAGTCAGAGTGAACCAAGTAACCCAAAAGATTTAAGGCTAACTTTGAACAGATAGTACTTGTATTTCAAGGTCATTTGATGAGGTCAGTTGGTGGTTTTAGTTGCTAAAAGACATTTCTGTTTTGAAACTATGAATATAGGGAAAAGGCTTTTAATACTTAAGTGTTTGCATGTGGCATACATTGTATGTTTGACCGCTCAGATAATTTTGTTTTCATCGATTGATGAAAAGGTAAATTATTTTAGTAGTTGGAATTTTAATTTTGAGCGGTCTTACAATGGAACCTAGGACCCAGTGTTTTAAGGGAACTCTTGCTATTTTATCTGTTTATCCTTAGTACAATTAAAATTTGGACAGATTATTCTAGTTAAGCCATGAGTGTCAACATGTAAACTTGTTTTGATTAAAGAATTTTTCTATTAAACTGTACTAGTAAATCACTTCTTTGCTATTTATACAAAAAAAAGTGTTGGAATTCTGAATTTGCTTCCAAGGGAGTTAACTTGGTCATAGAGATTGTGTTATTTGGAGAGACAGGGAAAAAGCTCAAAATGATAAAAAATAAACAAAATGTTATTTTTGGTTCACCCTACCATTTCTTTTCTGTGACCAAACAGATCTACATAGCTTACCAAGAAACACATAATATTCAACTGCCCTTGCTCTAACCAGTTCTGATTTATGTGGTGGTAAAACACTGCCTTCTCTATCTTAATCCTCATTTCAAGAAATTCTTGTCAGTGATTCATAGTCTCAGAACTCTTATGAAAAAGTCATGTAATAATTACCAAGAACTTTCAGGAGCATTGGCTCAATTTAAATTGTGTACTTGGTCACTTAAAAGATAATTTAGATGAGAGAGCAAGACCCTCCCAAACCCACATTTTTTGGGGTATGTCTAAATACCTATTTCGTTGATGCTTTTTATTTATTTTTTATCCTCACCCAGGGATATTTTTTCATTTTTTGTTCAGATAGAGTGGGAGGGAGAGGGAGAGAGAGAAACATCGATGTGAAGGGTATACATCGAGTGGCTGCCACCTACACGACCCAACCAGGGCCAGAAGTACATGCCCTTAGTGGGAACCGAACCCGGGTCTCTCTAGACCACAGGCCTATGCTCTAACCGCTGAGCAAAACCGGCCAGGGCTCGTTGATGCTTTTTAAACTATTGGATAACATTTTAACAGTAAGTTATGCATGGTTCAACAGAATTAATTGTTGGTCTTCTCAGCTGCTTTGGAGAAATTCAGAAAAGTAATATCTGATTCAGACTTTATGTATAAACAGTTTAGTCCTTAAGCCTTATAATTGCTATTACATCGTGTGGTTTCAAATAGTAGGATAATAAACTGATCATAATGTACCCACACACTTACCTGGTTGAAGATGCCAGGTCAAGATGAGGTGGCCCATAAAAGAGCAAAGGCTTTTACAGGGCTCTGAAGGCTTCACTAACAACTTATTTTGTCCCATTGGCCAGAGAAAGAATGATCTATTGGAAATAGCAAATTCATAACACCTTAAGAAAAGAACCTGTTATATTGGTGGAAATGTGTTCAAATTTGTGCTGCGTAATTTTCCAACCTTAGCGATAAAGAGATTGGGAGAAAGATCAAACTATCCTTAAAGGGTACTTAAGCCTGAAAAAGATATTTCAGGAAATAGGCATTGCTTTTCTAGACAGTGATTTTGTGCATGACTATATCCACTATTATATCAAGATCTAACTCATTTCTAAATACAAAGGCTGTTGATTAATTCAAGTTCATGACATTTTCATATTTTTCTTCATTAGATAAAATATGTGACTTGAGTCATGTTTAATATTGAAATAAGCAGTTATAAGGTCTCTGACACAAGGTACGTTTTATGCCTATTTGAAAGGTGGGAGACCTATAATTGATATATAATACATGGGCAAATTTTAGTAGTAAACAGGCTACATTAGCCTTTATTTTACCAGGTAAAATGGTAACAGGTATCTAAGCCTTTGTATTGTTGGTGAAAAAGTAAACCTTCAGAACCAGCAGGATAATACTTTAAACTGATTGGTGCCACACATGAATTAATGCTTCTGTTGTGATAATTTCTGCAATTTTTGTTTTGAGAATATGAAGTAATGAAAATTAATAAAAGTTTTTTTTTTTTTTAAAAGACCCTTGCATACTAATGAAAAACCTATAAGGAATGCAGTTTAAAAAGAAATTCATTTTTACCTGTGGAACTTTGAGGAATTGGGTAAATCTGATTTTCCAGCAGGATTTTAAATCCATACAATTTAGCATCAATGGAGAAACATGAAAAGTAAAAATTAAGGCAATAGCCCTGGTCAGTGTGGCTTAGTGGCTAGAATACCAGCCTTCATATCGAAGGGTTGCAAGTTCGATCTCTGGTCCCAATCAGAAGACAACCAATTGATATGTCTCTCCCATCTCTCTCTTCCCTCTCTCTAAAATAAATCGATGGGAAGAATATCCTCAGGTAGGATTCACAAAAAAGAAAAAGGCAATAATGTAAACCAGCCATGTTGAGACACCTTAATTATATTGATTCTCTGGTGTATTGACTGAAATCAGTGAATCAGAGTACCCCTAGACATACCAGAAACAGGTGCTACGGTCTTCACACCAGTCGGCTTAATTAGACATGTTGCTTTTAAGTCCATAAAACATTTTACTGTCAACCTTTTAAACACACAGGATTAGAGTCTTCATCAGTTTTTTATTTTTATGTGTAAATGTCTGTTCTTACCCATCCAGGAAGTGTGGAATTCAGCTGAATTTATAAACATAACCTAGAAGAAAGTGAAGTTTTAAATGACAGAATAAATTTCCCACCAAATAACGGTTTCCAGAAAACACTTCAAAATAGATGGCTACTATTTTCCCTGATGATCTAGACCTTGGAATTTATCATAGCTTCTTTTTAGCCCAGAGTGAAAGAAGAGAATAAATAGAATTATCATAGCAGGGGGACCAAAAGAATGAAGAGCTGAGCCAGAAAAACTGCATTTTCTTTTCGCACACAGAATACCGGGTTCTATTGCCCAAAGTGAGCCAGAGCTAGCAATCCATAGGGTTGATTTCCCGTGTCCCAGTAGTCATGTTACATGAAATCTTTTAATCGTAAAAAATTAAATTGACGTACGTACATTTTAACTCAGCATTTGTGATTCACAAAAAGCTGTCAAGAAATAAAGCTTCAATTTAAATGTTACTTCTGGACTACTGTAATTAGTAGAATAAATAGGAAGAACAAAATAAATAAATGCTACTTTTGTAAAGCTGAGTCTATACTCAAGATCTTTTTATATTCATTATTCATTTAGTGAGTATTAAAATGTTTACTGTACCTAGTTTCTACCAAAACATTATACGAGCCCACTGTGAGATTAAATTACACAATAATTATTAATATTGTATTTATTAAATCTGCTTTTATTCTTCCTAATTTTTATTAGATATTTTAAAAAATCTTTACCTTGGAAGCCTCATGGTATACGGTGTAGTTCACATTCTTCAAACAATTTTCAAAATACTTCCACCACTTGATGTATTAATTGAATTTTGTTAATGATTAGCAAAAAGCATTTCGGACACAATGAATAGGCAAGACACGGACTGGGAGAAAATCAGAATGCATATATATATGACAAAGGATTTGTATTCAGAATATATAAAGCATTCCTACAACTCAGTAAGATAAACACTTAAAATGGGCAAAAAACACTGAATAAAAACTACTTTGTAATAAATATTAAAAAATATTTTTAAGCATTTAAATACAACCAAGTTCCTTTATAAGAAAATCTGTACTTTGAACTTTTTTGGGGGGGATGGGGTAACTTTAGCTGATTGTTTCAGGTTGATCATGTTCCTATGAGTATACACTTTTTGTTGGTTATTAATTAAAGGTTCCAGGATCAACATAAGGATAAGCAAGGAATTCCCCCAGTTTGTTGCCTTCTGAATCATAGTGGAGCATTCGGAAGCAAACATCACAAAAGAAACATGGGTCGTCTGGTGCAAAACTGTCATTGTTCGTCACCCATCTGTAGTTAAAAAAACAAATGATGTGCATCATTACAATCAACTTTCTCATGCTGTAAGTTATGACCTATAATAATGTGTAAATATAACATTCCTACTATTGACTTCTCATCCTATCTTATTCATAACTATAATCCTTCAAAGGATTTTCTGTACATATATAAATACTTATCACTAGTAAATTAGTACTGGTTAATTTGAAAACTCCAGCTGATTTACTTAGAATTCAGGATAAAATGTTATAGAGTATATACAAATGAGAAATATGGGCAACATTATTCAACTGAAATTTTGTCTTCTGACCAGAGATGTTAGTAGCCACAGATAAAAATGCCATTTTTCATTTTATCTGAATTCTGCATCTCATGGAAACTTTTTTTCTTTCTTTTTTTGTTAATCCTTATTTTTTCCATTGATTTTTAGAAAGTGGTAGGAGTTGGAAGGGAGCCCAGGGGGAAGGGAGGGGAAGACGGTAGTGGGGAGGGAGAGAGAGAGAGAGAGAGACAGACAGAGACATCGATGTGAGTGAGAAAGAAGCATCAATTAGTTGCCCCCTGCAAGTGCCCCAGTAGGGGATTGAACCTGCAACCCAAGTATATGCCCTTAACTGGAAATCAAACCCTTGACCCTTCAGTGCATGGGCCGTCACTCTAACCACAGCCACACTGGTCAGGGCTCATGGAATGTTATAACATTCCCCAATTTCCATTTTGGTCTAATAAATCTGATTTATGTCTTCCTATTATCATTTGGAAAAGCACACTGTGGTAGGGAACCCAAAACAAGTTGACACTAAACTCTTCCCTTTTCCTCTGAATGATTTGTTGACTGATTAACAATCTACACATGCAGAATCACATAAAGCAGAAATTTTATAAAACCATATTTTGACCTCCTTATTATATATGAGATGCTGTGTTACTATTTCATTGAGGAGAAACTAGAGATGAAGCCGAGAGATGAAGCCGATTTTGTAAACTGCAGAGAGGAGAAAAGAACATGGTTCCCTGATGACACTGAGCACTGTATCAACCAAACTAAAGCCTGACCTACCCCTGGACTTCCACTGTACATGTTTAAAAATGAGGTTGTAAGATATCACTTACCTGGCTGTGTACATTTTACAAACAAAACACTTTCTGGTCCATAGCCAATGCTTCTTGATAAGAAGGGGATAAAGTGTCCTATCCAAGCAGTCATCACGATGCACAAGCCTTTTGTACATAAGAAAATAAATGAAAATTTTTGCAAAGTTTTTGTCATATGTGAAGAATCAACTATATCTGTACCTCAACATTAACACAGTAAGTGTATTTTTCAGTTTTCTGCTCACAAGAATTTTACATATATACTGACTTGCATACCAAGTTTGACCCAGTTGTGTTCCACAAAACACTCTTCAAAAAACATTTTGGATCAAACAATGTTTTCTATGAAACTTCCCAAATCCCTTCATAGTAATATACACTGGGACTTGGAGAGGGTGATGCCGTATGAAGCATTTCTTGAAAGTATTTCATCTCTGCTTTACTTAGCACTTACTACCTTTTTATAGAACATAGTTTGAGCAACTAATTGATCTTAAGTATTTTATCTAGCTCTCCTATCTAGAGTAACTTGTTATGTGTTATAACATGGTTCTTGATCATTCCCTTTTACTAAAATCCAAATCTGACTCCTTGTGTAATGTGAACTGGTAGGACTTTAGTTTTAGGTGTCAGAATTAAGAAACTGAGTGAAAAGTCATTTCTACTATGCTGCTAATCAGCTGAGTGGGTTTCGGTAAATCCCTTAACCATGCTGGACCTCAGATTCTTTTTTTTTATCCTCACCGGAGGACATTTTTCCATTTTTTGTTCAGGTAGAGTGGGGGGGGGGGGGAGAGAGGAACAGAGAGAGAGAGAAACATCGACGTGAGAGGGACACATCGAGTAGCTGCCACCCGCACAACCGACCAGGGCACAACCGACCAGGGCCGGGGACAAACTGCAACCGAGGTACATGCCCTTAGCGGGAACTGAACCCGGGTCTCTCAGGACTGCAGGCCGACGCTCTAACCGCTGAGCCAAACTGGCCAGGGCGGACCTCAGATTCTTCATCTGAAAAATGAAGGGGCTGCTCAAGAAGTATTCTAAAGGTCGATTTTTTTTTTTAAGTAAGAAAGGGTAGCAATATATCAACTTCTTTCACCAGAAACTGACTAGTAAACTTTTAACGGTTTACTAATTAATAAACTATGGAATGGCACTGAAATGATTAAATCCACTGTAATACGAAAATGGCTTTTAGTCTAAATTACATTCCAAGTTGCCCTGAGTTTAAGGAGTGACGCTGCAGCAATGTGCCTATGAGTGGAGAGAAAGCAAGAGCAGCCGGAATAGCTTACATAAAATTTGAAGAACAAAACATGTTATTCAAGAATATATAAATTCGAGTCATATAAATATATAACGTTTATGAGCTCTCCTGGCTTTTGCTTCAAAATTCTTCCTAAGGGGCAACTATTTTATATTCTTAAATATTTGTTTTTAATTTAGCTCCTCAACATCTCTACAGAACGACTATAGCTTTGGTAAAATAGATGCTTAATGTTTAAATTATGATAATTTAATACTTCTATCGCCTAAGCCATATAACAGACTATAGGTTCCTTTTACTGTGTAACACTTCGTTTTCTGGCTACTAATTCTCATGTTTGCAGATGCTGAGCCTTCAGTGTTCCTGGCACTAATTCATTTCTCTATTTTCTGCCACCCTGTTCCAGTCTTCTGGATTAAGTTGTTCTCCTGCTCTGCCAAACAGCCATCATTCTAAGAGTTCCTCTGATGTCTTACCTATTCTGTTTTGCATTCCATGTTTTTCTTTTTCAAGGTTAAGTCTTTGTGTGAAGAACTGCCTCAGGTAGCTTCCTGAGACTCAGTGACTGGGAGGTAACAATCCGGAGACTGTGAACTGAGATCCCAAAGAAAAGGAAGCAGGGACTTCCTGAGGCCATCAGTTCCTATTGCTGGTGTAATAAATACCTGGGTATATCACTGCTCCACAAGAAAACTTAAAATGGTCTCTCGGAAGGCATCCAACTGGGGATAGAGCAGGGTTTATTCCTATATATTGTTCTTCATAAAATGAGATTTCCTAAATAAGGATAAGTCTTATTCACAAGGAAGAGAGAAGATACCAGCTATATAAAATGTATAACTAATTTTAAAACCTCATTTTTTAACTATTCTAGTTCTTGCCACTTACAATCTTTGTGAAACAGTAAGAGTTCATATTTGTCAAATACTAGAATTATTCTCTTCCCCCCATTCCTTTTTATCTCCTACAAATTTTGGCAAAAAGACAAGAAACCAAGAAATATAGCTGCAAATTTGTAAAGGGCCTATGTGGTATACAAAGTGGATGACTACTACCTGAATAATAGCTGTGTAATATACAAATGAAGATACTTTTTAAAGTATTTACAAAATTTTAACCCTCTAAATTGACAGTAAAGCATATCTTATTATGTATTCCCCTCGCCCCTGCCCCAAATGAACAGAGGTTGCAAAGCTGGTCATTGAATGGAAAGCACTTATTTTTGCTGTTTCCAAGCCCAGCTGCACTGATTAATTACTTTTATTCCTCTAATTAAAAACAACACTGCTTTCATACCATGAAATAAAGAAAAGGAAAACAGAACAAATATAAACATTCTGAGCACTGCCACTTACCTTATGTCAGTAATGACAAGAACGTGTTCACAGTCTCCCTGGTGACAGTATAAGTAGGGAAACCCCAGTTTAATACGTAAGTCATTGAAGGTGAACTCCTCCATTTTCGCAGTCTGAAACTTTCCATAGCCTCTATCATGGGCCTCTGACCACTCAATGATAGTTCTGGAAGGGGGTGGAGGCAAGGATATAGATCATTGCTCCACACGAAAAAACTAAAAATGACAGAAAACAGTTTGTAACTGCAGTATTTCATAAAACCTGGCTCACCCAATTAACTGGACAGTTGCCATCTTGAAATGAAAATCACAGTGGTTGATCGATACATGTTGGAATTAGGAATTCTGAATTTTTCATCTATGAGAACAGCAGTTCTCAAAGTGTGGTTCCTGAGGTCAAAATTATCTTTACAATAATCCTAAAATGTTATTTGCTGCCCTTTCAACTCTTGTTCTTTCATCAATGACCATTTTTCTGGAGACTACATGACATGGGTTATCACTTCTGACTGAATGGAAAATGTATAACGATGTCACCCGTCACTATTTCACTGTGTTCTGAAAAGGTTATTTTTCACAAAACATTAATGCTAATGTTTAATGGGATTATTTGGTCAATATTTAAAATGCTTCTTAGTCTGACTTGCTAATACGGTAAATTGATAGCTATAATATGCCCACACAAACAAAGGCGTTTGTGTCCTCAATTATTTATAATATAAAGAAATGCTGAGGCCAATAAGATTGAGAACTGCTACATTAGAATATAAATACAAATGGCTACAATGAAAGAGAATTTATATAAACACAGAAAAAATATACATATATACTCTACTTGCCAAGATACTAATAATAAAAGTATGGTCTAATTCACATGATAATTAGATACAGATTTTTCATGTTTTGTACTTAAGCAACCATACACATCACACAGGGCAAACTGTGGTACACTAAACAAGCAGAAAGACAGTGGAAGATTTTCTGCTATCAGCTAATACAAAGAACAGACATTAATAAAGTGTTTAAGTGGGATTTAGTTTCTTTTTTAGATGTAAAAGGCTCAAACAAGATTTAGTATAATGTCTAAAATGGTAGATAATACATTTAAAATCCAAATCTGGACAGTTGAAAAAGATCCTGTAATGGTTGACATGTTTTTGGTAGGAAATTTTTCTTCCTGGAATAAAAATTTTTATTAACTTACTAGTACCTACACCGACTTTGAAAATATTTTTAAAAGAGAGAAATTTTTACGCCAAATCAAACAAAGCAACCTAATAAAGTAATTCCTAGGTAAATATCCTTAGCATACCAGTAAGAAGATTTATAGAGTAATACCATTTTGAGAACTAGAAACTGGAAAGGCTTTGAGATTTTGGAAACTGTACCTGCTCAAATCTCTGCACTCAGGGTATCTTCTATCATTGTAAAATGTTCCTTCAAAATAAAAGAAGGCTGATTTGTATAAGTCCTATAAGAAAACAGATGGTATTAAGAAAAAATATTCATGAAAAATGTTTATGTCATAAAATCACCCTAATATGTTTAACAATAACTTTGTGCAACTTCATAGAATAGGCTCAACTCATTCATTAATTTAATATTTAATGGGAACCCTCCTATGTGATAAACATTATGTTAGTTACTAGGCATAAAGGTATAAAATTTTATCCTATTGCTATTTTAATCACTAGGTTTGATTTAAATTTGTATATTCTCCTAAGATTCATCAGAGAAATCCAAATAGAAATGAAATAAACTTCAATATTATTTTATTATATGCATACATAGCAGTGACAGTTAACTTTAGGTATTAGAACTAAAGACTAAATAGCCATATATTTGGTGTTTCCCAGTGATGATAATGACCATGGAGTTACGTTTATCTGTCATATAAATGGTTTTTCAATGTGCTTTTATAAAAATTCCCTTTATGTTTTCAATAACTCTTAGGCAAGCAGGATGTAAGTATCTATTCTTACTCACACAATCCTGCCCAAAATACCAGTAGTTGCGCAACTGGTCTGAACCCTTAGGTTTCTTAACTTTCAGTTTACCAGACTTTTCGTCAAAGGGGTGTCTCCTAATCCTAACTGCATAACTGAATCACAGAACTGTCAAGACCAAGTCTCATCTCAGTCCCACTGAATGAGACTCTTTCAGGATGTGGTCAGGATGAGTGTTGTCCCAAGCTCCCCCAAGATGAAACAGGTAACCACTCTGTCAGACTTGCTTTCACTTCATCTTAGAATCAGACCCCTGGGAGAGGGTAAAAAGACCTGTGTTCTTCTCCTTAACCTAACTTCCTCCTGGGACCTCAATTTCCTCACCTGTAATCAGAATAATACCTGGCATTCTACCTTATAGGATTGTGATGAGAATCAAAAGCAGTTTATGAACTATAAAAGATACGTAAACTTCAGGTATTAAAAAATTTCACCTTGCCCTGGCCAGTTATGCTCAGTGGTTAGAGCATTGGCCTGCGGACCAATGAGTTGCGGGTTTGATTCCGGTCAAGGGCATGTACCTTGGTTGCAGTTTGTCCCTGGCCCTGGTGGGGTTGTGTGGAAGACTCTATCATATGGATGTTTTCTCTCTGTCTCCCTCCCTCCCTCCCGCTCATTCTGATAATAAGCAGAAAAATATAGGGTGAGGAATAAAAAAAAAAAATTTCACCTCAAGGTAACAATTTCTCTGCTACTACTAAATTTTTTTTAAATGGAAGATTTATTTTATTTCAACTTATTTTCTTACAGATAGTTCTCCTTTTCCCCACTGACACCCTCCTCCCACCCCCTACCCCTCAGCATTGTCTTACATGGTTACACATACATGCATACAAGCTCTTTGGTTTATCTCTTCCCTCCCCCCTCTGCTACTACTTTAAAGCTTCTATTTTTCTTTCTTAATTATCTTCATTCCCCCATTCACAGATCTGGCGTTGGTATGAGACACCCTTACAAGACTGGTTTGGCTGTTTCTCCTTGGACAGCTCACTGAGTCTCCCCGATCCTCTTTTTCTTTGTGTAAAATATGATTAAAGCCATCATCTTCCTCCAGGTGGCCACGGGGACAAAGGGTATAATGTACAGTAATGCCATGTCTGGCTGCTGCTAACACAGAATCTGCCATTTAGACTTCTAAACCCTCGAAGAGGTCAGCTAGGGTCCAAAATAAAAGTTCTGTAAGAATAACTACTGCCTCCTTTTGGGGGAAAAAACAAAATTTAGTGTGTATAAAATTTTGTTTCATTACAAAATGTTTCCAATGAACTTCATTTTAAGTGATTTAGGCAACTTAATGCTTTGGCATACTTATTAATGAGAAAGGGAACTCTGAAAGAACAAAACTGTTTTCCATCCTAAGTCTTTCATGCCCTGGCCGGGAAGCTCAGTCTGTTGTGCGTTGTCCCAATGCACCAGGGTTGCAGGTTTGACCCCGGGTCAGGGCTCACACAGTAATCAACCAATGAACGCAGAAGTAAGTGGAACAAAAAATTTATGTTTCTCTCTCAAATCAGCCAGTAAATAAAACAAAAATAAAAACACACACAAAAAAATTTTCCTCGCCCTGGCCGGTTTGGCTCAGCGGTTAGAGCATCGGCCTGCGGTCCGGAGAGACCCGGGTTCGGTTCCCGCTAAGGGCGTGTACCTCGGTTGCAGTTTGTCCCCGGCCCTGGTTGGTCATGCGGGTGGCAGCCACTCGATGTGTCCCTTTCACGTCGATGTTTCTCTCTCTCTCTCTTCCTCTCCCTCCCACTCTATCTGTACAAAAAATGGAAAAGTGTCCTCGGGTGAGGATAAAAAAAAAAAAATTTTCCTCATTAAAAAGTTTTCCTCATCTTGGTGTACAAAATGATTAAGAGTAGAAGCTGTGAGTAATCTCAACACCATTAATTTTCATTTTAATGGTAACCAGTGATACAAATTAGTTTCCCTGCGGGGGGGTGGGGACCAACCAACATAGAAAAACTAGTGTAAGAAGTTACTTCTCTTATTAATCTAATATAATCCAAAAGTCTACTGTTACTATTTCCATTTTATAAATCAAGTAACCATCAATATGATCATTCAAACAAAGTCAATAACTGCTTACATATAATTTTGGGCATAGCCATTTCTACTCCTGCTAACATTGAAATTGGCTACATTAGAATATATAGAAACATTCCTAGGATCTGTGAGAAAATGGTAAAGGGACAGAGTGTGGGAGAGAAACTTTACAACTTAAGCTTATGTCACCATTTTTCCTATATCAAGGCTTTATTTATAATAAGTATGTAAAGTATTTTCTTAAGAATTCCACTAAGAAAGACCCTAAGAGATTATTGGGGGTGGGGGGTGGGGAGACTAATGTAAAAAAGATTAATACAGCCTGGTTGGTGTGGCTCAGTGGTGGAGTGTCAACCCATGCACCAAGAGATCACCGGTTTGATTCCCAGTCAGGACACATGCCCAGGTTGTGGGCCCGATCCCCAGTGGGGGGCATGCAGGAGGCGGCCAGTCAATGTTCTCTCTCCTTGATGTTTCTATCTCTCTCTTCCTCTCCCTTCCTCTCTCTAAAATCAATAAAAAGGGAAAAAAAGATAAATACAATCAGACATGAAAACACGAGAAACCACTTTTTGAAAAACTTGAGCTAAAATACTGGTACTGTTTTATACATTTTAAAAATGCACTCCGGCCCTGGCCGGTTTGGTTCAGCGGTTGGAGCGTCAGCCTGCGGTCCTGAGAGACCCGGGTTCGGTTCCTGCTGGGGGCGCGTACCTCGGTTGCAGTTTGTCCCCGGCCCTGGTCGGTTGTGTGGGTGGCAGCCACTCGATGTGTTCCTTTCACATCGATGTTTCTCTCTCTCTTTCTGTTCCTCTCTCTCCCTCCCACTCTACCTGAACAGGGAATGGAAAAGTGTCCTCGGGTGAGGATAAAAAAAAAAAAAAAAAAAAATGCACTCCATTCTTGAACTGCTACCGTCCAAAAACAAACATTAGCAGAACATATTACATTTTAGACATAAGCTTTTATTTTATTTTTTTAAATCTTCACCTGAGGACATCTTTTTTCCATTTTTTGTTCAGATAGAGTGGGAGGGAGAGAGAGGAAGAGAGAGAGAAACATCGACATGAAAGGGACACATCGAGTGGCTGCCACCTGCACGACCAACCAGAGCTGGGGACAAACTGCAACCGAGGTATGTGTCCTTAGTGGGAACCGAACCCAGGCCGACGCTCCAACCACTGATCCAAACCGGCCAGGGCACAGACATAAGCTTTTAAAAAAGATTCAAATACAGTGTTCCAACTCTCCTAGTCCTCTCTCGTACCAAATTAATCAAAGAAAGTTTTTTATTGAGAAGTCTTATTGGCTGGAAGAAAGATTCTCATTTCCTCAACTACAAGAACTGCAACTCACTAATTTGTTACATGATTATCAGTGTCAAATATTCCCCTATTTAAAAAAGCATTATAAGTTAAGGACTTACTTTAAATTCTGTGAGGTGTGAAATTGGAATGAGGTGAAGAGGTAAAATATTCTGGCAACATGCTGAAAACTGTTGAAGGTTGGTAACAAGTACATAAGGGCTCATTATACTATTCTTTGTGTGTATGTTTAAAATTTCCAAGACAAAACTTAGAGACTGAGCACCAAGTACACAAAAGGGTAGGGCAAAATGTCTCCAACCAGGCATAACCTCACCATGGCACAGACAGAACAAGGGGCTTCACAGGCCAGTGGACAAGGGTCTGAATCTAGCCTCTGCCACTGCTCTGACCAGGGGCAACTCACGACTATGCTCTGACCCATCTTTTTCTTACCTTAAAATGGTGATAACTCTTTCAAAGAGAGCCTATTGTACATTTAGCACATGGTAAGTGTGCAATAATCAGAGATACTATTTTAATAGATGGAAGAGGCAGAAACAACGTTAACAGCAAATGTGTTAAGCATTAAACTAGGACAATGGGTTATATAGCCCCCAGCTTAGAAAGCTGCTGAAGGCATCAGCACTGATATACAAACAATAAAGCAACCGAGCCTGGTGAACAACACACCCCAGGATTCCCGGAACTAAGACAGGATTCCCAGATCTGACACAAATCACTTTGAGCAGTGGTGACATAGTTGGACTGAGAAAGATTAATTCACGTTTTTCTTTTTTCTTTTATTTTTTATCCTCACCCGAGGATATTTTTCCATTTTTTGTACAGATAGAGTGGGAGGGAGAGAGAGAACCATCGACGTGAAAGGGACACATCGAGTGGCTGCCACCGGCACGACCAACCAAGGCCGGGGACAAACTGCAACCGAAGTACGTGCCCTTAGCGGGAACCGAACCCGGGTCTCTCCGGACCGCAGGCCGACGCTCTAACCGCTGAGCCAAACTGGCCAGGGCTAATTCACGTTTTTCTTATTAAACTGATCTAATAAACTTTACAGTTAGCCTTTTTTGTTTTTGTTTTGGTAGGATTGAGAAATTTTACATAAGACTCTCATTTCCCAGTCTGCATACAGCTTTGAAATTCCACTTGTTTCTCTCTAACCTAAAATTCATCTCCAAGAGCACCGAGATGGCAAACCTCAAAAACCCAAATATCTTAAAACCATTTCAACATAACTCAGAAACTATGTATGTGAGATCTATGTGAGCCACGATGCTGGTCTTGCCAAAGACTGGAACACGGCCAGCCCTGTGGGCAGACAGACATACCCACGAGCACCTGTGTACTGCTATAAGCAGTACAGTGAACAATGAAATGGAGCCAGAGTGGCAAAGAGAGGACATTCAGGAAAATTTTCATGTAGTGAGTCTTGAGTTGGGTTTGGACATATGAATATGAACTCACCACATGGATGGAGGGAATGGCTTCCTACTATGTTCAAACACTCAGAGGTACAGAAAAGTATGGTATGCTTGAGGAAGATAAACACATTCATTTGTGGTTGAAGCATAAAGTGAAAAAATAGGGGGTGAACAGTATGAAAAGGTAATGCGGGCAGGACCCATCGTTACAAAAGGCCCTACCCATCAGCCTGAGGACTCTGGACTATAGGGCAGCGGAGACCCACTGATATTTTCAGATTGGAGAACGGCAGGATCAATTTCTTTTCAAAGACTATTTTTTTAGAGCAGTTTTAGGTTTACAACAAATCTGAGAAGGAGGTATAGATATTTCCCATATACTCCCTGCCCCACACATCACGTTAGCCTCCCCCGTACCAACATCACTCACTAGAAAGAGACATTTGTTACACGTTACGGTCCCCCAGCGTCCACAGTTTACCTTAGGGTTCCTCTTGGTGTCTGCTTAGTTTTTGAAAGGCAGCTTGAGTGTCATGTATAGGAGGGTCTGAAGGTGGGAAGACCAGTTAGGAAGTCCCTAACTAACATAGATGGCAATGGAAAAAACAAGAGTTTGGAGCTATTATGGCAGAATAAACAGGAATTAAAAGGGACAGGTTCAGCTGGAAAAAAGGGGAGATGATAGAATGAGCTTAATTTTAATTTAAACATTGAGCTTTTAGGTTTTTGTGGTTTATTTATTCAACAGCTATTTAGGTACTTCCTCTGTACCATACATCATTGAAGGAATAAAGATCATTGAACAAAACAAAACCCCTACCCTCACAGAGTTTATATTCAAGTTAAGGAAGACAGATAATATGATGTCAGATAGTGATAAATGCTATTAAGAAAAATATACTCGCCCTGGCCGGTTTGGCTCAGTGGTTAGAGCATCGGCCTGCAGTCCAGAGAGACCGAGGTTCGGTTCCCGCTAAGGGGCATGTACCTCAGTTGCAGTTTGTCCCTGGCCCTGGTTGGGTCATGAGGGTGGCAGCCATTCGATGTGTCCCTTTCACGTTAATGTTTCTCTCTCTCTCTCCCTCCCACTCTGTCTGAACAAAATATGTAAAAATGTCCTCGGGTGAGGATAAAAAAGAAGAAGAAAAATATACTCAAAATATTAAAAATCGAACTGCCTTATGACCCAGCGATTCCACTTCTGGGAATTTATCCTAAGAATCCCAAATCACTAATAAGAAAAATATATGCAGCCCTATCTTCACTGCAGTGTTATTAACAGTAGCCACGCTGTGGACGCAACCCAAGTGCCCATCAATAGAAGAGTGGCTGAAAGAGGGGCGATACATACACAACGGAACATTATTCGGCTTTTCTCCTTGAAATACTTTCTTTACTTGGCTTTTAGGACTCAACACCCACTCGATTTTCCTCCTCTCTGACTGACGTTTAATGAAATCAGCATTTGAGACAGTATGAACAACTCAGAGGGTTTTATGCTAAGTGAAATAGCCAGACATAGACAAATACCATATAATATCACTTATATGTGAAATCTAAAGAACAAAATAAACAAAACTGAAACAGACTTATAGATACAAACTGACGGAGGCCAGAGGGGACGGGTGTTGGGAGGCGAGGTGAAATGAGGCGATGGGATTAAGGACAAATTGGCAGTTACAGAATAGTCAGGGGGTGTAAAGTACAGCACAGGGAATATAGTCAATACTGTTATAATAACTATGTTAAGTGCCAGGTGAGCACTTGAATACCAGGGGGAACACTTTGTAACCTATGTGAATGTGTATCTGCTGAGCTATACACCTGAAGCTAATACAAAACAGTGTTGAATGCAAAGTGCAATGAAAAAATAAGATAATAGCCCTGGCTGGTTTTCTCCGTGGTTAGAGCACTGGCCCGCAGACTGAAGGGTCTTTTGTTTGATTTCTGGTCAAGGGCACAGTACCTGGGTTGCAGGTTTGATCTCTGGCCCCAGTAGGTCATTTGGGAGGCAACTAATCATTGTATCTCTCTCACACTGATGTGTCTCTCTCCCTCTCTTCCACGCTATCTAAAAAGTAAAATAATAAAACACAGAGAAAAACACAGCATGGTAGGGGAAGAGAATACTGCTCTGGCTGCTAAAGGAGACCTCTCTGTCAAGGTGACATCTGAGGCCAGGAAGAAACAAAGGAGGGAGCCATCTGAATAGCTGAGTGAAGAGCATTCTAGGGTGAGGGGAACAGAAGACACAAAGGCTCTACACAGGAGAAATCTGCTTAGTATATGTGAGAAACACCAAGAATGGCGGTGTGGTCTGAAGGCAACACTTGAGGGGATGTTAGGATATGAAGTTGGAAGGTAGAAAGGACCAGATAATGGACCATTTGTAGACCACAATAAGAACTTTGTATTTTATGCTAGATGTAAGAGGAAGCCTCTGCAGACCTGACTGATACTTTAAAAATGTCACTCTGCCCTGGCCAGTTTGGCTCAGTGGTTAGAGCGTCGGCCTGTGGTCCAGAGAGACCCAGGTTCGGTTCCCGCTAAGGGCAGGTACCTCGGTTGCAGTCTGTCCCCGGCCCTTGTTGGGTCGTGTAGGTGGCAGCCCTCGATGTGTCCCTTTCACGTCGATGTTTCTCTCTCTCTCTTCCTCTCTCTCCCTCCCACTCTGTCTGAACAAAAAAATGGAAAAATGTCCTCGGGTGAGGATAAAAAAAAAAAAAGTGTCACTCTGGCTGGCACAGAGGATACACACAGTGTGGAGGGGGCAGCAGGACCTGTCAGCAGGCTACTGTAGCAGTCCAGGCAAGAAACGATGGTGCTTGTGAAGGATCAGCCGAAGTCCCTACTGATGCTGTCAACGTGGGAAGGAAAGGAGGCAAGGCTGACTCCAAGGTTTCTGGCGTAAGTAACCAGGGGCAGAATGGGCATATTCACTGAGATGGGAACATGGGAAGGTATAGATATGAGGAGGAAGAGACACCTAGTTTGCTTTTGAACATACTACATTTGAAATGGCTCTTAGATATCTGATAAAAACTGTCAAGGAGGCTACTGGATATACAAGTCTGGAGTTCAGAGAAGATGTTGAGATTGGATACACTCACCTGGGAATCCTAGTATTTATAGCTATGAATCTGGACAAGATCGCCTAGGGAGCACAAACAGAGGAGAGGTCGGAATACACAGAGGAGAAGTCTAAGAATTAATTCACAGGGCTTTACTAAGTCAGAAAGGTAAGAAGCATCCAGCAAAGGAATTAAGTCAGTCAGGATGAAAATCGAGTGGGTGCAATGTCCTAAAAGCCACGGTGGAATGGTGGGGAACACCATTAGCTAGAGCAGTGGTTCTCAGCCTTCCTAATGGGCGACCCTTTAATACTTCCTCATGCTGTATGTGGGCGTGTCTGCATGTGATAGAGGAGCAGTGTCCCGGTTTCTAGAACCTTTGGAAAACACATATTTCCGATGGTCTTAGGCGACCCCTGTGAAAGGGTTGTTCGACCCCCAAAGGGGTCATGACCCACAGGTTGAGAACCACTGAGCTAGAAGAAGATACAATGTCAAGAAGAGGTGTTAGGATGCGAGATGTATTACCACACATTCTTATAATAATGGGAACGGCCCTGGCCGATTTGGCTCAGCGGTTAGAGCGTCAGCCTGCGGTCCTGAGAGACCCGGGTTTGGTTCCCGCTAAGGGCACGTACCTCGGTTGCAGTTTGTCCCCGGCCCTGGTTGGTAGTGCGGGTGGCAGCCACTCGATGTGTCCCTTTCACATCGATGTTTCTCTCTCTCTCTCTGTTCCTCTCTCTTCCTCCCACTCTACCTGAACAAAAAATGGAAAAATGTCCTCAGGTGAGGATAAAAAATAAAATAATGGGAGCTGACAGAATGAAAAAGACACTGATGATGCAGGGACACGGGGGATAATTATAAGAAACAAGTCCTTGGTTATACAATTGGGGCTGAAATACAGTGGACACAGACTGGCCTTAAATAGCAGCCGGTTCAGTTGATCCACTGTTAATAGGCGGGAAGGCCCTTCTACTTTACTGGGCAAGGGATCCCTGCTGAAAACGTCAAGGACAGCCAGTCTGCCATTCTGCTACTTTCCATAATTATACAATGAGTATGTAGGGTTTGTCTGTCTTCTGAGAGCATCACCCTGGCAGCCACCAGCGATGACAAGCATCAGGTGCTATGTCTCTGTCTGGTACTGGTCCCTGAACTGACCGGTCCTTCTACGGGCAGTGAGATTCTCGCATAGACTCCAACTCTTTGCTGGGGCAGTTACGACAAACTCTTCCAGAGTTTGTAAGAGGAGTGAACAGCAAATGCTACAGTGAAATCAAGTTGTATCAACATGGAAAAGAAATAAATTGGTTAAACAATTAGGTGGTTACTATGACCTTTGAAGGAAGAGTATAAAAAGAACGGTTGAAAATGAATAGGATATGGGGAAATCAAAACTGAGTACCACATAAGCCTTATCTTTGAAAAGGTCTTTTGGATAAAGAGCAGGGAAGAGACAGGCTTTGAGGGAATGGATTAGAAGAAGAAAGCATTTACTGGAATACTTAGGATCCCGATAGAGTAACCAATACTTCCTTAGCTTATTATTATTTCCTCTTTATGGGGGCAAAACAAAAAAATCACCTTACTTTGCTGATGTGCTCAGGGGCTTGGTCAGGAGTATTGCTGAATTCCCCACCAATCTGGAGGTCACTGACACAGCAAATTGAATCCCTGAGTTCTGTGAGCTTTTGACTGCCCAGTACCAGCATCGTCTGGTATGGTTTGTGTTCTTTGTGCTAGAAGTCAAACAGTAAATAAGTTAGTGTCCACTTAAAGATAAGCAATTAAACTATAAATCCTGTCTGGATCAGATTTGAATTAAGTTACTGGTTTCTTGCTTTAAGTTATCCCCATAACTTGTTCCGTGTTTTCTTAAAATCTGTAGTTGTCTATTTGGCATTCGTTAATTACAGGTCCAAACTAACGCCAAAGCTGTTTACATGTCCCTGTGATCCAGAGCCGATGCTCTGAAACCAAGTTATCTAACTCACATACCAAGCCAGCATTTCACCTGCCCTAAATCAAGGTCCAGGTACAGACAACCAGGGACATCCCCCACGCCCCAGAGCCCACTGGCATTATTCAAACTAGCCAACCCTAAACTGTTTCCTCTGTCCTGCCTTGCCTTTCTCACGGGACCATAATGAAGACTATGGCCTATGCCTTCCCCTTCCTCCTTTCTGCCTCCTGACGCTGGTGCTTCCGCCTGTGGCCTACACAGCATGGCACCCCCCCCTCAGAAAGCGTAGGTAATAAAACTCTTCTTTCTATGGCATTAGCCTTGAGTGTTGTCACTTGGTCGCCTCCATAAATTAAAATCCATGGATATGCCCTGGCCAGTTTGGCTCAGCAGTTAGAGCGTTGGTCCGCGGAGCAGAGAGTCCTGGGTTTGGTTACCACTAAGGGCACGTTGTACCTCGGTTGCAGTTTGTCCCCGGCCCTGGTTGGGGTCGTGTGGGTGGCAACCAGTCAATGTGTCTCTCTCACATTGACATTTCTCCCCCCACCCCCTCCCTCCAGCTCTATCTGAAGATAAATGCAAAAATGTCCTCGGATGAGGATAAAAATATATATATTGAAAAAAAAATCCATGGATATAACCGAGATGCTTGGTGTGATGGTCTGAATGTTTTTGTCTATCCCAAATTTGCATGTTGGAATTCTAACACCCATAGTGATGGTGTTGGGGGTGGGACCTTTGGAAGGTTACTGGGTCATGATGGTGTTTCAATGAATGGGACTAGTGCTCTTATCCCAGATGCACTCATGTTCAACCTCCAGGGAGCATGCCCACACCCTTCCTCCCGCCTCCTTCCTCCCAGGTGCGTTACCTCTGCTTTTTTCTCTCCTAAGCTCCAAGGGCCTTTCTATCTCCATAACTTTCTAAATAAACTTTTTCTTATATTAAAAACAAAAGCCCTGGCCAGGTGTGGGTCAGTTGGTTGGGTATCACCCCATGCACCGAAAGGATGCTGGTTTGATTCCCAGTCAGGGCACGTGCCCGGGTTGCAGGCTCAATCCCCAGTGGGGGGTATGCAGGAGGCAGCTGATGGATGTTTCACCCTCACACATTGATGTTTCTCTTTCTCCCTCTCCCCTCCTTGCTCTCTAAAAATCAATAAACTTCTTTAAAATAAATAATAAAGAAATACATAAATAAAAGAGATCCCACTGAGCTCCCTAGACCCGTCTGCCACGTGAGACGTCTTCAGCCCGGAAGACAGCCCCAACCTGACCACGTGGGCACCCTGATCGTGGTCTTCCAGCCTCCAGAACTATAAAAATAAGTTTCTGTTGTTTATAAGCCACCAAGTAAGTGACATTTTGTTATAGAAGTCAGAATGGACTAAGACACTTGGTAACAGAACTTTTTTAGTTTAAGCTAAAGTTTATAATCAAGATACTACTAAAATGACATTAGCAAGAAAAACCTGTCGACTCTAACTTCACCTAGCAGCACTGTCTTTTAAAATTTCCCAGAAGTTACCACACTGAAGTCAGGCAATCTGTTCACTACCATAATGTTAAATCCAGAGGTCCTATTTTATTGGTTTTGTTTTATTTGATTGGTAATTTGAGATCTTCATTAAATAAGATAATTAGTACTAACTATATTCCAGATGCTTCATAAAAGCCTATTTATTCACAAGTGCAGTTTATGTATAGTAATATTTCTCTTTCTTTTTTTTGTTAATCCTCTCACAAGGATATTTTTCCATTTTTAGATATAGTGAAAGGGAGGGAGAGGAGGGAGGGAGAAAGAAAGGGAGGGAGAAGGAAAGAGAGGGAAGGAGAGAGAGAGATTGGTTTCCTCCCAAACGACTCTGACCAGGGCCAGGGATTAAACCTGAAACCCAGGTACGTGCCCTTGACCAGGAATCGAACCTGAGACCCCTTGGTTGCAAGGCTGAGGCTCTAACCACTGAGCAAAACCGGACAGGGCTGTATAGTAATATTTCAGTGGAGCCTTATCAAAGTTTATGATATCTACTTGAGGAATCAAGAATGTATACACTCTGTTATAGGGCAGTTAACCGACCAGGGCCGGGGACAAACTGCAACCGAGGTACATGCCCTTAGTGGGAACCAAACCCGGGTCTCTCAGGACCACAGGCCGACGCTCTAACCGCTGAGCCAAACCGGCCAGGGCTAGGGCAGTTCTTTTTATTAGAGATTCCCTAAGGAATTCCTAGATACCCCTGACCTGTTAACTTTCTGCATTTTCATCAAAGAAGAGCTGTCTTTAGTTAAATAACTTCCTAAGTATTCTAAACTGGTGAACAAAAGTTAGCGCACTTGCCCTGGCCAGTCTGGCTCAGTGGTTGGAGTGTCAGCCTGTGGACCAGAGAGTCCCAGGTTCGGTTCCCGCTAGGGGCACGTACCAAAAAAAAAGTTACCGTACTCCTTCTGGGGGGGCGGGAAACAAGGTTCAACAGCACATAGTTAGAATCACCGTGGATTCCTACACTTTTGCAGCTGCTTCCAGCGCAGACACCAGAGAATGCATTCCAGCACTGAACTGTAACCCTATTCATGGAGGCATTATTTGAACTTGATCTTACGTACAATATTCCTTATTAAAACAAAGAACCCAATCCCGTGAAAACAAAAACAAAGAACCTAAGAATATAATAAGCAGGATGCCAGATAAAATAGCATCTGCTTGCATTTATTTTGAACCCTAAGGAATACGATCCTTCAAATAATTAAACCATTTGACAGAAGTCATTCATCTTATCTGTGGAATGCAAAAGGTTTTACTACTGACCTTATGAAATATTACAGGGTACAAGATATTCACAGATAGGATAAGCTCCCCTTCTTCAATCATGTCTGCTGGATTTTCGGGCTTTTTTCCTATGGCATGTGATTCCTGAAGGAGGAAAACAAATTAATAAGAGACATTAAAATCAGACACCGTGACTCACATAAGAGGCAGTGTGGAACAAGGCTATAAGCAATACTGATTTTGACAACAGCCCTGATTTTGACTCCCAATTCTACTTCAAGAAAATTATTAAAACTTAAGCTTTAGTTTCATCTTCTGTAAGAAACAGAAAACACATATTTACAGAACTGTTGCTGGGAATGTGTACATAAAGCATCTAGTAAGATGGCACCGCTTACCAACTGATGATAAAACCAGAGTAAGAGGAATATCAACTAATGCTGATATAACACTGGCATTTACAGTTATTGATCTTTTACAGACCTCCTCTCATGTTACTCTGAGAGCTGCTGTCAGACAAAGTTCAAGGTACAGCAGCAAGGCAAGATGCCAGCACAGGTCTGTTTGGCTTTAAAACTCTTGCTTTTTACAACATTGTCACATCTTTAATAACCACACTCTCTTTTATATCTGCTTAATAACTATAAAATGGGGCCACCAAGGTGAACTGGTTAAGTAAGGGTGAAAAGATGTTTTAAAAATAATAGGGAGTGATGTCACACAAAATGGTGAAGTAGGAAGCTCTAAGGATCAGTCCCTCTAGCAAAGCAACCAGTAAGGTGGGAAGAGAGACTGCTGATTTTTCATAAATGAGCAGAGGGTACAAACCAACTACCATTCCCCCATTCTTCAGCCCTGCCACAGAAGTGTTGATAGCAGCCCATGGTCCTAGAAATGATGGCTGATGCCAGACAGGCAGTGGGGACCCTGTTCTCCAAAAATTGGGGGTTGTGTGTTTTGGTTGGTCTAGTGATGCCCTGAAGGCCTGATGCAGACATCTGCCTTGCTGTTGGCCCTCGCCAGCTGTGGCTTCCCCCAACAGCAGTTATTGGAAACTTCAAAGGGAGAGGACCTGTTCTCATTTATGAAGGCAGACATTTAAGGAAATCTTAGGTCACTGGCTGACCACAGAGATAATGAAACAGAAACATCAGTGATAATACACAACACAGAACATACATATTGGAAAATAATTTGGAAAAGTCACAAATAGACAGCACCACCCCTCAAGAAGTACTAAGCAGCCATGGACAGTTTTGCTCAGTGGTTAGAGTGTCAGCCTGCAGACCAGAGAGTCCTGGGTTCGATTCCAGCCAAGGGCACGTACCTTGATTGCGTTTCGTCCCCAGCCCCGGCTGGGGTCGTGTGGGTGGCAACCAATCAATGTGTCTCTCTGACATCGATGTTTCTCTCTCTCTCTCCCCCCCTCCTGTTCTGTCTGAAGATACCCATGGGTGAGGATTTAAAAAACATACAAACAAACAAGAAGTAATAAGCATACTCGGAATGTCCAGTTCTCAACAAAAAAACTTATAAAACACACAAACAGAAAAATATGGCCCATTTACAAGAAACCATCCTTGAAGGAGCCCAGATATTGAAATTACTAGTCAATGATGTTAAATCAACTGTCGTAAATGTACTCAATGACCTAAAGAAAACCACATACAGACAGCTAAAGGAAATGAGGTTCCTTAATGATATCAGCAGCCAATTTCTCACAAGAAACCATGTAGACAAGAAGGCAGTGGGACTACATATTAAAAGCCATGAAAAAAACCCATCAGCAAAGACTTCTATACCTGGGAAAACTATCCGTCAGGAATGAGGAAGAAATTAAGATATTTTTCAGATAAACTACACAGGTAACTATGAAAGCCAATATTACTGTACTTTTGGTTTACAACTCTTTTTCCAAAAGCAAATGCACAAAACAGTATTTATGTTAACAGACACACAATATATAAAGATGTAATCTGTAAAGATAACAATATAAAGGGGGGGTGGAGATGTGTAGAAGCAGTGTACTGATCCTTCTGGATATTACTAAAACAAAGTTGGTATTATCAAAACTAGGTTGTTATAATTTTAAGATGTTAATCGTAATCTCCAAAGTAACCACTAAGAAAATAAGTAGAACATAAACAGAAGGAAAGGAAGAAAGGAAGCAAAACGATATACCATAAAAATTCAACTAAGTACAAAAGAGGCAGGAATGGAGGAACTGAGAAACAAAAATATAGATGACATACAGCTAAACAGAAGTAAATCCTCATTAGTAATCACTTTAAATGTAAATGGACTAAATTCTATTAAAAAAGCAAAAAGACTGGCAGATTAGATTACAAACTTGATCTACATAGATATTCCCTAGGAGAAACTTACTTCAGATATGAATACACAAAGAGGGTGAGAGTGAAATGGTATTCCATGCAAACAGTACCCAAAAGAAAGCTGGGGTGGCTATATTATTGTCAAACAAAATACACTTTAAGTTAAAAGAGGTTACAAGAGTCAAAGGAGGACATAATACGTACATTGATAAAAAGTCAATACGGCAATAAGATAAATTAATTATAAACATATATGCAGTTAAAAACAGAACCCCAAAATACATGAAGCAAAAACTGACAGAACTGAAGGGAGAAATAGTCGGTTCTACAGTAATAGTTGGGAACTTCAATACCCCAATTTCAATGAGTAGGAAAAAAAGACAGAAAACTAATAGTGAAATAGAAGACCCAAATAACACTATAAACCAATGAGACCTAACATATATAGAACAGTCCATCCAACAATAGCAGAATATACATTCTTCTTAAGTGCACAAGGACCATTCTCCAGATAGACCACCAAGTCTTCATAAACTTAAAAAGACTAAAATCATTAAAAAAGTATATTTTCTGATCACAACTGATGAAACTAGAAATTAAGAACAGGAGAAAAACTGAAAAATTTAGATATGTGAAAATTAACACACTCAAATAAACAATGGATCAAAAGGAAATCACAAGGAAAATTAAAAAATACCTTGAGACAAAATAAAAATATAACATAAGAAACGTCTGAAGTGCAGCAAAATCAGTACAAAAAGAAAAACTTAGAGCTGTGAACACTTACCTTAAAAAGACAAGAACAATCTGAAATCTATAACCTAACTGTTTACAATCAGGAACTAGAAAAAGAACAACAAACTAAACCTGAAGCTAGCAGGAGGAAGAAAATCTAAACTGACTCAAGAAGAAAAAGAAAATCAAACTAGATCTATATAAGTAAGGAGACAGAGTAGGTAATTAAAATCTTCCTAACAAAGAAAAGCCCAGGACTAGATTACTTCTCTGGTGAATTCTACCAAATAACAAAGGAAGTTAATAACACTAATCCTTCTCCAAGTCTTGGAAAAAGTCTGAAGAGTTGGAGGAATACTCCCTAACTCATTCTGAGATCAGCAGACTTGGATACCAAAGCCAAAGACACTACAAGAAAACTACAGGACAATATCCCTTATAAATATAAATGCCAAACTCAACAAAATACTAGCAAACCAAATTCAACAGCATATTAAAAAGATTATATAGTGCAACCAAGTGGGATTCACGCTCAGGATGCAAGGGTAAATTCAACACATGCAAACCAATCAATGTACTACACCACACTAACAGAACGATGGGGTTGGAAAGCCCACATCGTCATCTGATGCAGAAAAAGCATTTTACAAAATCCAATTATTTTTCATGCTAAAACACTGAACTAGGAATAGAAGAGAACTTATTCAACATAATAGACTATATGCGGCCCTAGCCGGTTTGGCTCAGCAGTTGGAGTGTCAGCCTGCGGACCAGAAAGTCCCGGGGTCGGTTCCGCTAAGGGCACATACCTCGGTCGCAGTTTGTATGTGAAAAACTCACAGCTAAAACCACACTCAATGGTGAAAGACTGAGAAGGATGTGCCCTTTTGCCACTTCTTTCAATACGGCACTAGAAATTCTAACCAGAGCAATTCGGCAAGAGGGGTTCAAATGATACAAACTAGAAAGAGATAAAATTATCTCTTTACAAATAACATATATTATTTTATTTATTTATGTTTTATTTGATTTTATTTTAGAGACAGAGGCGGAGAGAGGGAAGGTGGGAGGAAAACGGAGGGGGGAAGAGAGAGAGAGAGAGACATTGATTTGCTATTCCACTTATCTACACATTCACTGGTTACTTCTTGTATGTGCCCTGACTGGAAATTGAACCCGCAACCTTGGCATATTGGGAGGATGCGCTAACCAACTGAGCTACCCAGTCAGGGCCCATGTATGATCTATGTACAAAATCGTGAAGAATTCACATGCACACAAAAAAACGCTGTTAGAGCTAATAAACTGAGCAATGTTGCAGGATATAAAACCAACACACAAAAATCAGTTGTATTTCCATACAGTAGCAATGAACAATATTTGGAAAGGATATTAAGAAAACAATTCCAGCCCTGGCCGGTTTGGCTCAGCGGTTAGAGCGCCCGCCTGCGGTCCGGAGAGACCCGGGTTCGGTTCCCGCTAAGGGCATGTACCTTGGTTGCAGTTTGTCCCCGGCCCTGGTTGGTCGTGCGGGTGGCAGCCACTCGATGTGTCCCTTTCACATCGATGTTTCTCTCTCTCTCCCTTCCTCTCTCTCCCTCCCACTCTATCTATACAAAAAATGGAAAAATATCCTCGGGTGAGGATAAAAAAAAAAAAAAAAAGAAAAGAAAACAATTCCATTTAAAACAGCATCGAAAGGAATAAAATAGTTAGTGATAAATTTAACAAAGGAGATGAAAGATTTGTATAGAAAAAAACTACAAAACGTTGCATCTCTGTTCATAGATTGAAAGACTTAAGTGTTATGGTGACAATACTATCCAAAAGATACACAGATTCAATGCAATCCCTATCAAAATCTCAATGTTTTGTTTTGTTTTTTCTTCCCAAAAATAGAAAAACTCATCCTGAAAACAATTTTGAAAAAAAAATCGAAAGACTAACATTTCCAAATTTCAAAAATGATCACAAAGCTACAGTAGTCAAAACAATGTGGTATCAGGATAGAGACAGACAGACAGCCCTGGTTGGTGTGGCTCAGTGAAGTGGGCATCATCACATGCACCACGAAGTCGCTGGCACAATTCCTGGTCAGAGCACATGCCCAAGCTGTGGCCCAAACCCTGAACGGGGTACACATAGGAGGCGATCAATCAATGTTTCTCCCCCCTCTTCCTTCTTCCCTCTCTAAAGTCAATAAAAACATTTAAAACAAACAAAAACAACCTCTGCTTTAAAAAGACAGACATACAAACCAATGGAATAGAGAACTCAAAAATAAACCTAATATACAACTGACATTTTTTTTTTATCCTCGCCCGAGGACATTTTTTGCATTTATCTTGAGATAGAGCAGGATGGAAGTGGGGGAGAGAGAGAGAAACATCGATGTGAGAGAGACACATTGAGTGGCTGCCACCCACACAACCCCAACTGGGGTCAGGGACAAACTGCAACCGAGGCACGTGCCCTTGGCAGGAACCAAACCTGGGCCTCTCTGGTCCACGGGCCGACACTCCAACCGCTGAGCCAAACCGGCCAGGGCTACAACTGACATTTTTAAGTTCTTAGTTTATTAATCCTCTCATGAAATATCTGCACAATCACGAAAGATAAAGTCACTGAAGAACCTTTACTCCTTCTGTTGTCCAATCTCCAGCTCGCTTTTTTGCCAGCACCAACAATGGCCTTTGTGGTCCCCCCGACTTTTCTTTATTCTTTCTTGTGTTCCTTTCTCTGTTTTCTTAAGGTCTTCTTCTCATGTAGGCCAAGACTTGCAAGTCTATGTTTTTCTTTGCGTGATCCAAGGAATCATAAATCAGGCCAAAGCCAGTTGTCTTGCCATCACCAAAATGGGTTTTGAATCCAAACACAAAGATGACATCTGGTATAGTCATACATTTTGGCTAGTTTTTCCTGAATTTCTGTCTTGGGTAATGTTGCTTTCCCAGGGTGAAGGACATCAATGACCATCTGTTTCTGCTGAAGTAGTCTGCTGCTTACAAACTTCCTGGTCCAGGCAGTCAGTCCCTGTGTCCGTTCATGATGGTGGCTGATCTTTAAGCAGTGAGGGAGGAAGAGCACAACTTTCAACAAAGGTGCAAAGACCATTCAATAAGGAAAGGACACTCTTCAACTTCTGCTAAGAAAGTGGATATCCACATGCTAAAGAATAAAAATGAACCTTTATTTCATATCATATATAAAAGTAACTCAAAATGGACCAAAGGCTTAAACTATGAGCTACAAACACAAAGCTCTTAAAAGAAAACATTAGGGGAAAATATTCAAGCATTGTACATGGTGATGTGTTCTTAAGTATGACACCACTGGCACAGAGAATAAGAACAGATAAATAATTTCATCAAATTTTAAAACTTTTGTATATCAAAGGACACTATCAAGAGAGCGAAAAGACAACCCATAGAAAGAAAATATTTTTAAATTATATATATGGCAAGGGTGTAGTATCCGAAATATACAAATAACTCTTATAATTCAACAACAAAGAAATAACTCAATTAAAATATCAACAAAGGATTTTAACAGACATTTCTCTGAAGATATACAAATAAACAATAAACATATGAAAAGATGCTCAACACCACTAATCATTAGGGAAATGCAAATCAAAACCATAACAAGGCCCTGGTGGTGAAGCTCAGTTGGTCACAGCATCCTTTCAATATGCCAAAGTTTTAGGTTCGATCTCCGGTCAGGGTACACACAAGAATCAACCAATGCATGCATAAATAAACGAAACAAATCAATGTTTCTCTCTCTCTTTCCCTTCCTCTCTCTAAAATTAATGAATTAAAAAAAAAACACATAGATACCACTTCACACCCACTGGATGGCTATTATCAATCTCAGAAAATAACGAGTGTTGACAATAATGTGGAGAGCCCTGGCCGGTTTGGCTCAGCGGTTAGAGCGTCGGCCTGTGGTCCAGAGAGATGGGGGTTCGGTTCCTGCTAAGGGCACGTACCTCGGTTGCAGTTTGTCCCCGGCCCTAGCTGGTCGTGCGGGTGGCAACCACTCGATGTGTCCCTTTCACATTGATGTTTCTCTCTCTCTCTCTTCCTCTTTCTCCCTCCCACTCTATCTTAACAAAAATGTGGAGAAATTGGAACCTTTCTGCACTGCTGGTGGAAATGTAAAATGATGTAGTTTTGGTGGGTAACAGTTCGGCAGTTCCTTAAAATGTTAAAATAGAATTACCATATGACAGAGCAATTCTTCTCCTAAGTATATACTGAAAGGAACTGAAAATGGACTCAGATACTTGGATACTAATGCTCACAGCAGCATTATTTACAATAGCCAAAAGCTGGAAAACCCCCCAGCATTCATAAACAGATGACCGGATAAACAAAAGGTGGTATATCCACACACCTGAATATTATTCAGGTATAAAAAAGAATAAAGTTCTGATACATGTTACAGCACAGATGAACCTTTATAACATATGCTAAGTAAAATAAACCAGACACAAAAGGACAAATATTGCATGAATCTACTTATATGAAATAAATTCATAGAGAAAGAAAGTAGAAGAGAGGTTACCAGGGACTAGGGGAAGGGAAAATGGGGAGTTATTGTTTAATGGGTAAAGATTTTCTGTTTGGGATGATGAAAAGGTTCTGGTGATGGTTACAAAGCATTGTGAATACATATGCCACTTTAGTGAACATTTAAAAGTGGTTAAAACTGTGCCCACTTCGGCAGCACATACACTAAAATTGGAACAATACAGAGATTAGCGTGGCCCCCCGTGTAAGGATGCCACGCAAATTCGTGAAGTGTTCCATATTTAAAAAAAAAAAAAAAAAATTATGGTTAAAACAGTCAAATTTATGTTACATAAATTTTAGCACAGTAAAAAAAATAAGTAGGAGAGATAATATACGCTCTGATATGCTCACTATTAAGGGCCCAACACCATGTCTGACACATAGTAGGTTTTCAAGAATATGTACTGAATAAGCCAATCACGTCTACTAACACTTAATTCCTCAATACTCACCACCCTAATTTTTTCTGAGGGTTTTACATAAGAGATGATGGATTAGGAAAAAATGTGGATAAACCAAGATCAGGAGCAGAACAAAAATACCAGGAATAGGGTGGTGAACAGGCATGTTAGCCTAACACAGAGAGCAAGACCAACTAAACGCAAAAATAAAGACAGGATTGGAGTAAAATATGTCATCACTTGAATTCTAAGGGTCTTTTTTTCCTCCTACTTCCCAGTCCCAACAAAGTTTCTCTCATTTGCTTTCAACTAAGCATACCCAATATAAAGCCTCCACACAGTCCTCACTAACACTCACCCAGTGACAGAGCTTGTGTTTCAAGGGAAAAGGTGAAAAAGAGGAGACTCTTACCATCTCATAAGCAAATGTTTCTTGTCTGCAGACCCGATCTATCGTAATTGTTTCTTCCCGATGTTCCAGAAGCCTCTTTCTAATCCTGTTACAGATACAAGAACTATCAAACTTCAACATTCCTTACTGGGGCTTCAAACACTTTTAATATTTAATTTTTAAATTTGAACTAATTTCAGATTAAAGAAAAGCTCCCTTATATCTCTTACCTGGTTTCCCCTATGTTAACATTTTACATGATCATAGAACAATTATCAAGACCAGAAAATGAACATTAATATAGTATTATCAACTAAAGACCTTTTGGGAACTTCACAAATGTTTAAATTTAATGCCTTTGTTCTGTCCCAGTATCCTGGGCAGGACACCACACTGTATTTCTTGCTTCTCCTTTTTCCTCTAGTCTTTTACCGTTCTGTAGTCTCTCCTTGCTTCATGATCATGACACTTTGAAGGAGCTCGGATCAGTTCTTTTGTAGTGTCCTTCAATTTGGGTTTGAGTGCTGTTCCCTCAAGACTGGAGTAAGCTTATAAATTTTTGGTAAGAATACCACAAGAATGATAATGTCCTTCACTGTATCATCGTGAGGTTCATGACATTAATAGTAAAACAGGGTGGGGCAAAAGTAGGTTTATAGTTCTTGATATGGAAAATAATACAATTAAATAATAATACAAGAATATACCCCTCTGTTTTGAGTATTCACAACTGTAAACCTACTTTTGTCCCACCCTATATGTCTTATTACTGGTGACATTTACCTTGTCTACCAGGCTCCTACACTTGAAAGATAATTTTCCTTTGTACTCAATAAGTATTTGGGGGAGACACTTTAAAACTATGCAAATCTTGTTTCTCCTCAAACGTTCATCCAGAAATTTTACCATAGTAGATTTTGCCTGCAACATTACTGTAGTTCATGCCTAATGGTGATTCCCTAGTTCCCTCATTCTATATTTACTTATTGATATTATGAGGAAGACCTATCTCTTTCCTCCCATTTATTTATTTGATCATTTATATTAGTATAAACTCATAGATATTTACTTTCTTCTACAGGTTAAAATCTAATACTATCACTTTGTTGCTCCAATTGTTTTAGCTTTGGTCATTAGGAACTTTTTCAAGCTGGCTCCTGTTCTTTCAACAAGCCATCATCTTTTTTTCCCCTGAAGCATGTCCTTACTTTCTGGGGCTCCAGGTTTATCCTCTATTTCCCTGTCTCGGCCCTGGAAGCAACCACTTCTCCTAGGAGTCCTAACTCCTTTCTTGAAGAGAGGGGTTTAGAGCCCAGCATCTGGGCGCTGGGCATTCTCACTGTTACTGCAGTCACTGCTTCTAGGCTACTCAGCCGAGGGAGGTGGGAAACACATAGGTACACTAACCCATACATGTACAAATATCTATGTTTCTGTATTTTTCTATCTGTTACATATTGATTTATTTTTATCCTCACCCAAGAACATTTTTTCCATTTTTTGTTCAGATAGAGTGGGAAGGAGAGAGAGAGAGAGAGGAACATCAACGTGAAAGGGACACATCGAGTGGCTGCCTCCTGCACGACCCAGTCAGGGCCAGGGACAAACCACAACCGAGGTACATGCCAGGGACAAACCACAACTGAGGTACATGCCCTTAGAGGGAACTGAATCCGGGTCTCTCTGGACCGCAGGCCTACGCTCTAACCGCTGAGCCAAACTGGCCAGGGCTATCTGTTACATATTTAAAACCATGAGTTAATACAGATACTTCCCATCCTAAATTAAAATCACAGGATTCATTTTAGCCTTTAATCTTTCCTTGTTTATTACTTCTTTCTCCACAAGTGAGAAACCCAACTCCCATTATATACAATCCATTAACTTAATTCTTGAAAATACACTTTCAGAATTGTTAACCTACACCCCTGTGAGAAACACTAAGTCGTGAACAGTTCTTTTTGGCTTTAGCCTTACAAAACTGAATTAAGTCCTAGCCAGTTTGGCTCAGTGGTAGAGCATTGGCCTGTGGAGTGACAAGTCCTGGGTTTGATTCCAGCCAAGGGCATGTACCTTGGTTGCGGTCCGTCCCTGGTCCTGATAGTGGTCCTGCGGGAGGCAACCAGTTGATGCGTCCCTCTCACATCGATGTTTCTCTCTCCCTCCCACTCTATCTGAAGACAAATAGAAAAATATCCTCAGTTGAGAATTAAAACAAAAAACAAAAAACAAAAAAAAAAACCTGAATCAAGATATGCTTTTGCACAGAGATCAGATTAGTTCTTCCCATTCTCTCCAGTGTAATCACGTTACTCACTGTAACAGTTAGGTTTACTTGTTGGTTTTTTTATATTCTTTTTTGGGTTGCCCAATCCACATCCGGGTTGATTTTTTCTGATACTTTTGGGGTATGTGAGAGACGTGCATCTCCTATAGCTTTGTTTTATCAAGTTGGCTGCTATTTTATTTATTATCACTCTAACAAAGTATATTAGAGGACTTTTTAATTATTTGTTTTGGTGGTTGGGTAACAGTCTTCCAATTTTGTGGTTCTCTTTTTCTTGCAGGACTCTCAAGTTCCCCATTACCATTCTTTAAATGATGCAGTGAACAGTGGTTTTCTGGCTACAGAAATGAGAGGGATGAGCAGACTAATGTAACTGAAACTGCTACTGTATTAAAAGTAACGTGGATGATGCTTTTGGGATGAGATAGCTTTTAGTAGCAACCATGTAGTAACAATTATCCCTCCTATTCCTAGGAATTAAAATTTTCTCTTTAAGTAGTCAAAAAATTTCAAAAGTAGTGAAGACAAGTTAGTTAACTTGCCATGGATAGATCAAAAGATAATTGATCTCCATTAGCTGACATTTCCCTCCTTTATTTATTTATTTTTTAAAGAAATCATTTTTATTTTATTTATTTATTTTTTTATCCTCACCCGAGGACATTTTTCCATTTTTTGTTCAGGTAGAGTGGGAGGGAGAGAGAGGAACAGAGAGAGAGAGAGAAACATCGATGTGAAAGGAACACATCGAGTGGCTGCCACCCGCACAACCGACCAGGGCCGGGGACAAACTGCAACCGAGGTACGCGCCCTTAGTGGGAACCAAACCCGGGTCTCTCAGGACCGCAGGTCGACGCTCTAACCGCTGAGCCAAACCGGCCATGTATAAAATGTATACATGTATACATGTATACATGTATACTCCTTTACATGTATAAAATGATCCCAGTAGCTCCTTTGTTAGACAAGTAAGAGTTAGTGCTAGAAATTTATTTATTTTATGTTATATTAAATGGGTCGTGTACTTAGATTTTGTTTGTATTTTTATGTTTTTAAGTTATTGGTGGGGAGAAGGAAAGTTCAGAGAGAGAAAGTGTAGAGATACAGATTTTGGCTTTTGGCACAAGTCTAATTTATTTGCAGCTCTGTTAAGATTAATATTAATCATATTAATCATATGTTAAATAGTTTCAAAGTACTACATCAAAATAATCCCAGCTGAGGAATGCTGCACTAACTCCTTTTACATTAGATTTTATATATGTGTGTATACAATTCTACCCACATTTCCTATGGAATGGATGAGAAGACAACCAAGAAGATTCAGGTGATCTAGTAAGAGAAAAGAGCCAAGGAAGCAATGTGTAAAGTAGTCTGAAAATTACTACTTAACATAGCTTAATAACATATTTATAAGCCAATTAGTAAGTTATGAAGTATAACAAGAAAATAGTATGCTTTGTTTATAATTATCACCAGCCAATCTCTAAAAGTCACTTTCTAAGGTTTATGAAAATTTAATTTATTCCCTTCATTCCACAAATATCTACTGACTCTCCAATTATATGCCAAAGTTCTAGGAATTGGGGACACAGCAGTGTTTGGCAGATATGGAATTTTAAGTCTATCTAGAAAGATAGAAAATTAAACAGGTATAAGTGTGACGAGTTTCTCAGTAGAGAAGTATGGAGGCTACATAAACATAAAAGGGGTTCTAAATAAAGTCCTTAACCCTTCAGCTGCAACTTGAAGGGTATGACTTGAAGGATGTGTAGAACCAGCAAGACTAGAAGGATAAGGAACAGGAAGTGCTATAGGCAAAGGCCAGGAGTGACAGCCCATTCCAGGAACTGAATGTAGTGTGGCTGGCTGGAGCACTACAGAGACAGAGCTAAAATGTTCAGCAAGATCCATTCTACAGAGGCCCTTGTGAACCACTTAAGAACTCAGGACTTTTGCCTAAGAGCCATTGAAAGGTATTCAGCCAGAGTGACAATCAGATATGCAGTTTAGAAAAATTCAACTCATCAAACAACAACAATTAAAGAACACCAACTGGAGCAAAGCTATCTACTAGGCTTATGGGCAATACAGAGACGAAAGAGTCTGGATTCCCAATAAGTCTTCAAAGACTGGAGAAATGTTAGAAGAGTTCTTGACATTCCTGAAAGGAGAGAGATGGGTTATAGTAATGTGGAAAGTGGAAAGTAAACTTAGGGTCTCAAAGATGGGGTAGTTTTCAGATGGGTGAGGGGCCATGTGCATCCTGAGCCATTTGTAAGACAAAGTGATTGAAAATGAATCTAAAAAGGCAAGTTTGAGCTTTATATGAAAGGCTTCAAATGTCTAAGCAAGGAGTCTGAAATCTGTCCATAGAAGAGGGTAGAACCATTGACAATTTCTTAGCAAATGCACATGTTCAGAGGACAGTATGATGAATAAGTCAGGAGAAAACATGGACCCAGGAAGGACAGGAGCCTTTCACAGAGCTCCAAATGTTGCTCGTGTAAATATCAGCAGTAGGGAATGGAGACAGATTTGGCAGCTATTACCAAAAAAACCAAAGCAGAGTTAAAGTGCCTGCCTGAATTTTTGGACTTTGTGTTTGTCTTTTAATACCATTTTTCTAGTAACTCATTTTTATCCTACTTTACAAAAGTATGGATCTGTCAAAAATTAAAAAACAAAACTGGTCCTTTACCAGAGTCTGAGAGGCACTACCAGAGTATTTAGCTTGCACCTGAAATCTAAGTCAACTACCGTGCCTTTGTAAAAACAAATTTTTAAATAAACACAAATATAAATATGAACTAGACATCAGAAGTTATGTATTTACTGTTAATTTTCTTAGTTGTTATAATCCCACTCTGATTATGTAGAAGAAAGATACTTTCAGGAGATATATACTGTCTGCAACTTACTGAATGTGTTCAGTAATAGAAAAGGACCTCAAAAACATACAGTTGAAGCAAGTATGACTAAATGTTAACCATGGTTGAATTTAGGGAGTGGGACAACAACAATCAACTTTTGAATAGTATCACGTTGAAAAATATTGAAATAAATAGCACATGATAAAAGCAAAGTCATCCATACCCCAAAGTCACTAGGTCAGTATCCTCTGGGATGACTTCTGGGTCCTCCTCCTGGAAGCACTTCAGTTTATCAAGGCTAAAACAAACAAAACAAAAAAAGGAAAAGCAATCATGCACCATGTCCAGAGTGAGTCAGGGTGGTGTCCTTAATACGTCACCAAATAGGTAAGTAAATCCAGCAGGCAGCTCAGAGGAGGCCAGAATTCAAGGCAATTATAACTGTGTGGATATTCTATAAATAAAAACATATATGGTAGATTGAAGGAGGCCAATACTGTGTTAAATGGAGAAAAATATTTTTAAAAAGTTATTTTTGTATTTTCACCCCAAATAAGGCCCTTGGGGAGAAAGTGTCAGTAATAGCATATCCGGGAGGTCCCCAAAGAGACCACAGTTATTCAAGCTTTTAACACTCCTGTGGTTCAACCTTCCAGTCTTACCGTTACTAAGGTCCCTTCAATGTCAAAGCATCTGTCAACGACAGGTACACGTCGCCGTGACTGATTGCTTTCCTCCACAAACAAGCACTTTGATAATCAGCGGATAGAAAAATTAATCTTTTATGCAGCTCTTTCGTCCCTTCACGACAACTCGTAGAAATCATGCATTCCGACCACCGGTCCTCTCCCGGTGTTTCGGGAAAACCCAGCAGACTGAAGGCTTTGAAATGGAAAGGGCGGTCCTTCGACCCCCGGGAATAAACACAGGCACTCCCAAGAAGGGGTCTCAGGAAGCGCGCAGCAAGAGCCCCTCGGCCCCGCACTCACCCGCAAACTGCCCTCAGCTCGGTCGCCGCCTCCAGGCTGCAGCCCAGATCGCGGGCCACGGCGGCGTCCTCCCAGCCCGAGTCGGCGACCCCTCCTTGCCCAGGCAGCGCGGATGCCGGCGGCTCCTGCAGCGACAGATCTCCTTGGCCGCGCAGCCGGCCCCGCCACAGCTCCCCGAAGGCGCCCACATGGAACGCACGCGTGTTGAGCTCCGGAAGCTCGTACTCCGGAAAGTTGCAGCCGCCGCTGCTGGGGACCGGGTCCTGCCCGCCGCACACCGCGCTGCCCGTCGAGATGCCCTGGTTGTTTTCAGCCATGTTCTCCCCACTCCCTTCCCTGCAAAAACCGGAGGATCAAGGCCTTGCGGGGCGTGATGGGACTTGTAGTTGCACGTGGCCCCGCGGGCGGAGGGCGGGCCTGCGATGGCTGAGCGCAGACACTACATTTCCCGGCGGCCCCGCGCCAGCGCCCCCAGCCTCCGCGTGCAGGGCTCAGCGCATTGTTCTCCGCTCCGCGGTGCGGGGCGGCTGTGCCCGGCGCATCCGCAGCCTGTCGGGGTTGCTTCCCGGCCCCCCCACTTACGCAGCATCGCTCTCTGCTGGCTGGGGCGGCCTCCACACGCCCTTGGATCTCGCTCTTCACCCTCCCTTTGCCCCCAGTGGGGGACTTTTCCTTCTCTCCAGGGTTCGTGGGCTGCCCGCCTCAACTGCTCCGGAGCCTGAGAGACGGGGGAGGGGGGATCGGCCCCCCAGGTCAGGTTCCTCCAGAACCTCTCCAAGGGCCCCATATTCGCGTGTATGCTATAGTATGCGATGTTGTACACAAAAACAATAGAGCGTATGTATACTTTAGTTTTATCTATTTATACTTTAGTATTTTTATCCACTGGAGGTCATTTTTTCCTTTTTTTGTTGTTGTTGTTCAGGTAGAGTGGGAGGGAGAGGAAGAGAGAGAGACATTGATGTGACAAGGACACCGAGTGTCTGACACCCGCACGACCAACCAGGGCCGAGGACAAACTGCAACCGAGGTATATGCCCTTAGCGGAACCGAACCGGGTCTCTCGGGACCGCACGCCGCCTCTAGCCGCTGAGCCAAACCGGCCAGGGCTATTTTTATTTTTTACATTGATTTTAGAGAGAGGAAAGGAGAGAGAAAGAAACATCCATTGGCCGCCTCCTGCATGCCCCCGACTAGGGTGGCCGCAACCTGGGCATGTGCCCTGACCGGGAATCAAACCGGTGACCTCATTGATGCATGGGTCAATGCTCAACCAGTGAGCCACACCATCTCACCAACACCATGCATTATTAATCCTAATGTATATTGTTACACATCGCAGTGTTTTCAGGATTCCTATGGAGACAATTGCTAGGACATAGAGGCAGGATTGAAACAATCTGTCTCGCTTCAGATTGAGCTTTCTCCAGCTCTCAGAGATCTCAAAAGGAAGGAACAGAACACAGAGCAAACCCTGATTATTATTTATTGGGATATAATTTACATATTATATACACCACCCATTTAAAGTGTTCATTCCATGGCTCTTAGTATATTTACAGAATTGTGCAACAATCAATCAATTTGAGAACATGTGCACCTCTCCCAAAAGAAACCTTGTACCCTTTAGCTATCCCAATCCTCCCAACTCCTCTAGCCCTCGCCAACTACTAATCTTTCTGTCTCTATAGATTTATGTATTCTGGGCATTTAATATAAATGGAATCTTATGTGTGGTGTTTTGTGACTAGCTTCTTTCACTTAGCATAATATTTTCAGTGTTTATCCATGTTACAGACTGTAATAGCACCTCATTTTTTTATGGCTAAATAATATTGCATTAAATGGATACTGTATTTTGTTTTTCCATTCATCAAAAGGTTTTTTCCAACTTTTGGCTATTATGAATAATGCTACTCCAAACATTTGTTACAATTTTAGTGCAGAGATATATTTTCACTTCTCTTGGATATATTTATATCTGTATCTGTACCTATATATCTAGGAGTGAAATTGCTGGATCATGTGATAACTATGTTAAATAATTCGAATAACTACCAGACTGTTTTCTACAGTAGCTGCCTCATTTTATACTCCTACCAGCATTGTATGAGGATTCTGATTTCTCCACATCCTTGCTAACACTTGTTATTATCTGACATTTTTATTATAGCCATCCTGGTGGTTGTGAAATGGTACCTTGTGGTTTTGGTTTGCATTTCCATGATGATTAATGATTTGAGCATCTTCTGCTTATTGAGCATTTATATATCTTTGGAGAAATATCTATTCAAGTCCATTGCCCATTTCAAAATCAGGTTGTGTGTCTTTTTATAGGAGCCCAGATATTTAAAGACATCTGTTGTTTTTGTCTGCCTAATGTTCTGATTCTTAGAACTTACCTTCCTTACTCCTTTTGACCCTTCTGGGGCTGCCTGCCAATCATAGAACCCTTCCTACTCTGGTCACAGTAATTGGCTCAAGGATGAGCAAGTGACTCAACTATAGCCAATCAGAATTCTCCTCTGAGATTTTATTTATAACCAGAAACTCTTCCTCTCTTTTGCAGTATCTAAGGATGTTCTAAGGATGTGCCCTATCCCTGGCTGGTTTGGCTCAGCGGTTAGAGCGTTGACCTGCAGTCCAGAGAGACCCGGGTTCGGTTCCTGCCCTAAACACATCCTTAGATAAAAGAGGAACAGTTAGAAGGAAGAAAGCCAAAAGTTTAAATAAGCAAAGGCAGAAGATGGAGAAAGACAGAAGTCATGTGACTTGGAACAACTGTGGCTGAGGTCAGCTTCCTCCCGTGCCATTTTGTAAACCAATGTAATCTTTTACAACTAGTTTGAGTTGGAATCTCAACCTAAAGACTAATAGTCGTCTCCTGGGTCTGTGAGCCTTGGTCCAAATCTCTCCACAGGGGGAGCTCTCACTCCAGAAAATGAAGCCATACTTCAGGTGGAAAGAACTCTTAACATCTATCTGAAGGTTTAATAATATAGGCTTCAGGAGTGGAGACAACCATGGTTCCTGAGCAGCAGGTGGTAGGGGCAGGATCAGAATGAGCTCTGCAGGGGAAGGTGGTTAGTTGTCACTGTGAGGTGTGGCATTGGGTAGCAGCAGCTTGAGGCATTAGTAGATAAGAAGGATTTGTAGTATCAGCAGCAATCACAACACAGCACTCAGTTGAGTTTTATCAACAGCCAATTCTTGGAATAAGAATGAAGGGGCCCAGAGTATCTGCTGCAGCACACAAATTATTTTGAGCTGAAGTCACTTAAGAGTAGGCTTTTTGGCCTGGCTGGTGTGGCTCAGTGGTTGAGTGTTGACCCATGCACCAAGAGGTTGCTGGTTCGATTCCCAGTCAGGTTGTGGGCCCAATGTCTAGTGGGGGGCATGCAGGAAGCGGCTAATCGATGTTCTCTCTCACTGATGTTTCTGTCTCTCTCTCCCTCTCTCTCTCTCAAATCAATAAAGAAAAAGAAAAGAATAGGCTTTTTCTCCCCTAAACTCCCTTATCTACCTAAATGGTGAGCCTCCCAAAAGAACCAAATTGTTGTAAATCTCCTCTCTGAAAGTAGGGAAGATTGACTAGAAATGGGTACCACACAGAAATGGACATTGCTGTAAAACTCCCTTTTATTCTCCTAAGGACCCATTTATATTTCCCAGAAGTCATTTTTTTTCTCTTAAGTGTCCTTTTTTCTCCCTTCACTATTAAGAAGTCATTTGTTTTTCCGTAACTGCCCTTCTCCCTTAGATCTTTATTAAGATGGTAAAACAAGCTCAAATTCTAAGAGCCCTCTTCCACATGTCATACATTCGTGAGTAAAAAATCTGTCTTTTGTTGCTTAGCTATCTTTTGTTAATTTAATTCACAGGCTCCCAATGACTGAACCTAAGAGGGTGGAGGGAAAGCTTTTCCTCCCCATCAAGACCATGGCAAAGGTAGCTTCTGGCCCTGTGGCAAATTTGGCAGATGAGAGTATTGCAGAAAGGAGGGAGAAAGATTTCAAGGTCCCAGTATAGGTATAGTCCCTGTTATAGGATAGTGAGAAGCTAGGAAAATTCTAGGACAAGAGGAATAGGGAAACTAAGATGGATAGTTAAACAGTAAATCCTATCTTCCCTAAACCAAGGACATGTAAGAGTGAATGGTTTATACTTCTCCACCCAAACCAGAGGGTAAATAGCTTAAATCACCCTAGCTTAAATCCTCAGGGAGACAGATAATAGAAATCCACTTAGTGCTATTTTCCAACCACACTCAAGGACAGACAAATTAAGAGAATAAATCTCATTTTAGCACATCAGCATAAAGCTGATGACTATTCTATTAAAATCCTCCCCTAATACATCTTCTAAAATTCTCACCTTTAGAAAATAGGTAAGAACCCTCAACTCCTGGCCAGTTTGGCTCAGTGGTTGGAGTGTTAGCCTTTAGACCAAAGAGTTTCGGGTTGGATTCCAGTCAAGGGCACAGACCTTGGTTGTGGTTAGGTCCCTGGCCCTGGTAGGGGTTGTGCAGGAGACAGCCAATTGATGTGTGTGTCTCTCTCTCTCCCTCCCACTCTATCTGAAGATAAATGAAATGTATTTTCAGGTGAGGATTAAAAAAAAACCCCTCAAGACAAAGACCCAGTACAGGCTCTCTCTGGAATAAGCCCACATTTTTCTTCCTTCTCAGGAGTGCATCTTTACTTTTTTCTCCTAAACTCTAAGGGCCCTCATGAGACTTGCACATGGAGGGGCAGCCGGCAGTGGCAGCTCATCCTGGGCTAACCCCTGAACCTATTGTTAGCTCTTAACTTCCATATTACTGCCCTAAGCCTCTCATTCCAAGAAACCCAAACCCATCACTCTTATCATTTAACCTTTCCCTAAGCCTCTCATTCCAGAAAATCAAAACCCATTACTCCAGTCAAGAGGAACGGAATGATGGGACCACCCTAACCCACCCAAAACTGCAAATGGTCGCTCAACAAGAAAAACAAGTTTCAGGAGACCCCAGCCCCTGACCAATCAAGAACTCGGGAGACCCCAGGCTGGACCAATCAAAGACAACCATGTCTCCTAGGCTGAACGACCCCCCACCCCCAGCCCTGAGTTTAAAAATCCCTAGTCTGTACAAGCCAGTAGCTACTGTCTCCTTAGAGGTAGTCTGGCAGGCTAATTCCCAATAAACCTACACTTCTGGAGACCCTGCACTGCCTCATTCCACCTCGTTCTTACACCTATCTCCAAGACCCCCTTTTCTCTGACTTTTCAGCAAGCTAACAGAAGCCCTGAATTGAATAACTTCTTTCATTGTGACTTTTACTTCTCAGCGAGTCCACGCAGCCCAGCATGGCTCACTTCTTTCTTATAACATTTCTAGATGTTACCCAAAAGGGACCAGGCCCGGAGTGCTTCTG